ATCTGGTGCTTAGATGCTGTCTATTTGATAGAATATTATAATTACTAAAAGAGGAAGGGTGACAGCCGAATATGTGTGTGATCCAGACACAAGCCACAGCCGAAAATACGCCGCTCGAATCAATAGCTTTAACGGACTATGGGATACCAAGCGTAGGTAGTTTATATGTGCTCATAAAATCTCAATCAGGTTTAGTTAATGCTGCTGATCATAAACACTGACTCGGCATGCATTTAAGGACACATGCTAGGTTCTTTTCCAACTATTGTTTATGCTGCGCAGTACTTGCTTGTTGACATATGATCGATAGGAGAAAGTGTTGATATATCGAACGAATGCAATTGTGGGCTGTATTGTATAGGGTCCGAGCGTCCCATCTACGAAGGGATGGCCTTGGCGCATGCGCAATATGTAGTAACACAGGATGATGCCTTGCACCAACCACACTTACAAGGCTGATATAAAAACCTGTTCGTGTTGATTGTTTTGGGGATTCAATTTGAGTACCCGGCTCATCCCGAAGTACTGCGCCTTGTTTGTCGAACTGATCTTTACTGTTCTGCTGATCTGCTTCTGAATCAGCCAAAGGTATTTTGGACCGCAATACTTGGCATCATACTGTTGTTTTAGTTGAATGATCCTTTATAGTTACGCGAATTGATCCTACTATTTTGGGAGATCATCATTCTAGATAACGAATTGTGCAGATTGTATACTCTAGAGTAGTATAGTATTTCCTTTTGCTAAAAAGACAAATCATGATATTACTAATCATATTAGTTACAATTTATCGCATCCACTAATGGAAAGTCCTTCTCTGATCTTCTTTCGAGAATAAAGGCCATTGGTTTACCGCCATATTGTGCAGCTACTCCTTAACGAGATCAAATAGATTCCATTCCGGAAACTAGAATACAATCGTATGATTGCTTTAAACCCACGTGTAGCTTGAGTTTCACATCAAAATTTTGATACACGGATTCTCTCGTTGGCACCACTCGCAAAAATCTAAGCTTGCGCATCTCAATCAGTGAAACATATGTCAAAAGATAAGTGTCCGTTATCGGGGTGTATGTGGAAGTCATAGCCGAATTCGCGTCTACATAAAGAAATCCTCCGATCACGCATGCCGAGAATGGCAATATCTCCTCCGGCAACTACATCATTGGATTGTCGAACGAACCTCAGGGTTGGATGTCTGATAGCTAGTAGCGGCTTACTATGCAAGTTCTCGAGCTTCCAGTAGTGAGCTTTGACTTGGTTATAAATAGTATCGGTTTATACAACTGCCGTTAGCTCCATGTCCAATGCTTCATTGAATTCCTACATATTGGTAGGTGGTTACTGACTTTGTATGAATAGCCAGAACCCCCTATTTGAGTCTTTCAAGGAGTGAATATGAGACCGAAAGGCTGGAGTGAAGCCCTCGTTATCAAAAGATATTTCTAGCGTTGGAATAGCTCTATAAAACCTCCGACTTCGACCATCCGTATATTTCCCTTTTGGTTAGTCTTTAGACGTTAGGCACATCAGTGCATGGTGCCAAGACATATATACCGCCATAACTCGAAAAATTGGCTAGATCAGAATTACTTGTATGGGATACTTCTGATGTAGATCGATGCCATCCAACCAATTATTCAAGCGGTAGTCCCTGGACGGAGATAGCCAATTTTTCGAGTTTTGGCGGTCGAATTTGTAGATCATCGTTGAATGCGTCTTTGGGATCGAATATCACCCAGATATGGTCAGTTGATGATGCGCAACTTCTGCAGAATATACAAAGCCGCTACTTACTAAGGTGAACTCGTGAACCCCTAGATAGGTTAGAAATCCCCTGATACGCACAGATCATTCCCTTAGATCGGAGTTCGGAGTAAACTGCCATAAGCTCCGCTCAAACAAGCCTTCTGGATCGGATTTTTTGAAAGTTGAAATCTGTCAATTCGTAGTTCGAGCTCACGATAGCGTTTCAGAGTTTGGGGGGGGGGGGGGGCGTACCGGAGAAACAAAACCGTTTTCACCCTATAGCTCAGCTGATTTTACTCTATTAACTTGTAGGTTCTGTTTAAACCCCCACGTACACCCCACACTCATATCAGCCCTAACCTCAAGCAGCTCGGCAGTGTAGAGAGTTGGTTGTCCGTTTAGTAACCTTAAAGTGATTGCTAGATGTTTTCCGTCCTAGATCGAGCCGTTCAGTCCAATTGGATATCGGCCTAGATTGATCACGCAGACGGAAGGAGGAGTAAACAGATAGAGTTCTCAGATGATTTTAAAGACGCTACCAGGTTGTATCTAGAAGATCTTTGGAACCTTTGTGGTGGTGACAAACGCTTTATGGTCGTGGTTTTGTTTGTGTACTGGGCGTTTTGCCAAGAGTGGACGAGACAAACATCTGAGATCGAAACTCCTGATCGTTCGAATACCAATGGATCACTCCACCAGCGCATACCCTAAGAAAAACACCCCCCCAAAAAAGAAGCAAAGTAAATAAATTAAGCTTAAGCTAAGGAGCAAGGAGCTCCGACCGCTTCCCTACCCGGGATTGTCGCTTCCCCATATTTCCCACCAGCCTGGACAAGGAAGAAAATTGTTGCACCTCTGACAGTCGTTTCGCAAATGCAATGAGTATGAGGGGGATGGAGGAGGAAGTATCCTTGGGGGTAGTTCAGATCGAGATCCAGATCCAGATCGGTGGATATTGCGGGGTTTAGGTTGTTACTCGTGACCATGGGGCTCGCGTGCTGCATGACACTCTGAAATGGATCATGCATAGTAGGCAGTGGTATTCGTATTGAGGCCAAAACCACTCTGAACTAAGTACCCAAGAATGTCCATCGTGAACTCTTAGGGGTATATGTGTGGAGAAACGTTGGCCTGACGTGTTTAGTACGCTGGGTAGCGCTTCCTTAGGTAGGGAAAATAAGACGGTCTGTACACGTTGGCATATTAGATTCCCATGTATGATAACGCTGCCTTGGGGGCTGGATTAAAAGAGGCCTAGATGTGTACCCACTCTTGTTCAGGGGGTACAGGCGGGACGTTGTGTAAAGTCATTCACAACACATCACTCGTTCAAGCCACACTAAGAGGCTCAGCCACAACGGCGCATAACGCGGGCGCAACAATCGGGCCGATGAAGGGTATGTATCTAGTCCGAGTAAACTCCCCGAAGCGGCCCCTGCAAGAAACGACATCACAATGACAGAGACCGCGGATCATCATATGTAAACGACATTGATAGGTTCCCGAAACTCATCAGAGCGCGCCGGAGGTCAAAGAGGATGGATACATGTATGTATGTACAATTATGGTAGCTGCACATGTAAACGCAAACCCCGCATTTTAAGCAAAAGAAAGGAATAAAGAAATAAGAAAAGAAGCGAAGAAAAAAGAGAGGAAGAAGCCGAAAGGCAGATCGAGCACAGAAAGGCATCGGGAAAATTTGCGCCAAGATGGCACAAAGTAGACTGCAAGGTCGGCAAGCTGCCGAGCACCGGGACAGCCAACGAATGATATCAACCCGGAATGCTTCAGGTTCGTCATTCAGGCCAAGATTGCAATTAAGTACCGTATTTTCGCTAATTACAGTACTGTTTGGCCATCGCTCTATTGCTATTGCTTACACACTTAGACGTTGAATCAGTGTTGTCGTGACACTTGAGGTTGCTTGAAGCCTGAAGGGTGCTATGGGCGCTAGATGATGTATGTTCTATGTCCCTAATGTAGAGTGCCTACCTCCTTCTACCAACCACCCTTTGACGTGGCTCTATTGACCAATGTCCAGCGACAGCATTCCCAGCTTTCCTCGGGCCGTTTCCACCCAAGCTCCAGCAAGCATCCTTGAGCTTCCACGTTCCGATAATGGAGGCTCAACAGATGTTTCAAACTCGACTTCTGGAAAAGACTTTCACCTCCCCCTGTACTGAGCTCACGATAATATTACTACTATCCTTACCCTTCCCTTGATCCACCCCCACGTGCGGATGACTGCACCAGCTATGGGCATTGGTGAGTAGAGACTTCCACCGGCAATAGGTAAGTGGAGTCGGGGATAATCTAAACTCCATGTAGACAAGATATGAATTTCACGCCCTCTCGGTCCGGAAAAAAAACAAAAACAGTTGAGGGCTCAACGAAGGTGTGTGTGAGGGAAGGGAACGGTTACAGATGTGGTATGATGTTGCTTTGCTTGGACCTGTGAACCTAGCTCCCGGTACCGATACGCTGAACTGGGCATAGCACCTCGGGCCACCCTGCAAACAACGACACCTGTGGCTTTCCCCAGACGAACGAGTAGTACAGTCGCTCACCTACTGACGGCGGATCCTGTCTGATGGTTCTGTTTGCAGTAATTTGCCCTTGGCGTCCAAAACCTAACTCTTTTATTGGCCTCAAATCCCTGACCGCCATAGACAGGATCCGCCTTCACCCCGTGAGTGACTGTAGTACCTTGGTGATGTTTGTGCTACCAATAGAAGGAACCTACCAATGGTTTGTGCCATACCAAGCTTTGCTGCAGAAAGCATCCCGTTCAGAGAAAAAATTTGATTGAGAGAGCTCTCTCTCTCAAAAGTCGTGCGCGTTCAAGTAACATCGTCGCCCCCTCACCCCCGGTTGTTGTATAAAGCTGACGATCCTCCTCACTCATGTCTCCATTCTAACTCCGTCTCCGAGCTTCCCTGTAAACTCTTGGTCTCATCTGCAGTTGTCTGCACTGTCTGCATCATCGTGTTTTGCAATTGTCGCCGAATCATTTCACATTTCCTTTACGGCCCCTCCCACCCCCCTTGCATCATCCGAGTGCTAGTCATCCATCCTAGCTGTGTGCTTGTAATCACTTTCGTTCCTCCTCTTTAACCTTCTATCTAAAAACTGCCCAACTATAACTACATTGAATCCCCTCCCAAATTACTTCTTCATCACTCAGGTTCCCAAGTTAATAGTTTCATCGAAAGAGAATACCCATCTTTCTCACCTTACAGAAACAACACATAATGTTGATGGATCCGATTACTCCAGCTGCTACCCCTCCAATGTCAAGCCCTGTGGAAGCCACTTCATGCCTTGGAAGAGCCAACTCTTTGACATCTGTCAGGTCGGTCTTCACTTTATCAGTTTGCTCCGCCTCTGCAGCCAACGACAAAACCAATGTCACCTCTGCTCGTTGCTCTCACTGCCAGGCTATCGCCCCACCAGTGAATGCTGGTGTAACACTCAAAGACGCCCCAGCTGAGATTACAACAGCGAGGGATGGGGAACTGACTCCGTTGGAAGCTCCCAAGAGTCCTAGCTTGACAATCCAGACCAGTGGCCCTGGCTTCGATTCAGCTACCCCAGAAATTGGTTCTGCGACTGCAAGTTTGCTAAAAACCCTCCAAGACACCAACAATGAGCTACAAATCCATTGCCAGAACCTTCATCAGATTCGTCTCATGAGCCCATCACCAGCACCATCTCGTCGTGGGTCCGTCTGCCTAGCGGAATCCGAGGCTTTTATTGTCACCCCGTCAATTTCCACCGACAAGATTGCAGTTCAAGGGCCTGGCTTTCAATCAGGTCACCCTCTTATTTGCGATCTTGGCGATTTGGTAAACCTATCGAACGCCAACTTCCGTCTGCTTAAAACATTGCAAGACAAGGTCAACAAGGTGGATTCGGTCGAGAAGATGCTACGCACTGAGCGTGAGACAATTGAGCGCGAGAGGGAACAGTTGAAGCAAATGAATGCTGAGGCTGAGCGGGAAAGAGTCAGGCTGATGGCTGGAGGTTTGCGATGGGATGATTATAAGGTACGCCGCTATCCTTTGCTTTAGACCACAGAATCTTTTCTTTTACTAACCTGGATAATAGATGAGTGGTGCTCGTAACCATTCTGTACAGGGTTCAAGGAATGTATCTGGAAGAGCTACTCCAGAGGGCAACTGGGATGAGGAGGTCGAGGATTCTGTTTTTGATGAGGAGTGGACAGAAGAGAAGGAGCAGGAGTTAAAATTGTTAGAAACAAAACTGAAGAAAGCCAACCGGCAATGGAGCGATAAACAGGAAGAAGTTTTGGGCCCAGTAAGTTTTACTCTGGTCTTTGCATACAATCCTCTAGATCATGAACCTCTAGATCATGAACCTCTAATTTTTCTGCAACTTCGTTCTAACATATTCTTGTAGCTTGAGAGATTGCGAGAAGAGAAGCGCCAAGTAAAGAAAGCCAATAAGCTTGATCGCCAAGCCTCGAACAAAGCCGAAAGAACGAATTCTCGCGAAGAACAACCAGAAAAGCCTCCGCGAAAGAACTCTGGCTTCAAAAACTCGCTTTCCAACATTGGAAGAAAATCATCTTCCGGCTCATTGACTAGAAGGGATTCTTCGCCTGCATCTGGTAGTGCCACTCCTACAAGGCTTTTTAGGAAGTGGTTCGCATAAGCTTTGGGCCAAATATTCATCTCCATCTCCATCACCCTCGGAGAATCACAACGCAAAACTGCCCAGCATTTTTCTTTTGTTATTCTGAACATTGTCTTTCCCGAACGTACTGGTGAAGTTTTTTTGTTTTGTCTCACTGGGTCCGGTTAAGAAAAAAGTCTGTCTGCATCTCTGGTTGTGCTTGGGTTTTCATTTTGGTGCATGGTGATTGTGTATTGCATTTCTGTTTTATGCTGTTCGGGTGTGTGGAGTACATTTCGTCTCGTTTTTGAGGCCTATTTTTACGTTCTCCTGTCATGCCGGTAATGTTGTATGACTCATTTTCATTTTGGTCTCACGATACCCTTTGGAGTTTTTGTTTTCTTCACTTTTCGTTTTATGGCGTACCTACATGACCATTGGTACTCTGTAGCCACCTCTAGTCAGGTGGTTGTACAAATAATATTTATTAAAAAAATTATATCATTAAGGCTCTACTCTCTCCAAGCTTCCCTTTCTGTCACGATCTAGAAATATGATACGTGGGAGGTGTTCAGAGAATACAGAGTCTGGTAGAATTATTGCGAAAGTGGATTTTCCGTGACCCGATAGTCCTATTGGCCCTTAAAAGAATTTCTGCAGTGAGCACGGACCAAGAAGCCCACTCTTTTAGTTCTGACTTTCGCAATAATTCTACCAGACTCTGTAGTCTCTGTCAATCGACAATTCTAGTTGTGTTTGAAATATTTGAATTACTGTCCAACCGGGTGATATGGCGCCGTTATATATGTGCGTACACAGGTCCGCGGTTCGAGTGATGAGTTGTGAACGGCAGCGTGAGCCATGATCGATCGATCCTCGCACGTCCCGTATCTCGTGATACAGCATTATGGAGCCAAATTTTTTGATATACTTTCAATCAACAACAGGCTTAAGATCATAGATTCATAGGTATTTTTCCTTACTGTGCTCCAACAGCAATGGGTGCTTACTATTCAGTACTACAACCAGCTTATTATGGAACGTAGCCATATCCATGGTTATTGTGATTACGAATATTCTGGCGATCATTCCCTCCCCACCAATGATCACTTGGGCCCTTGACCTGTGCACTCGGGCGTACTCTCAAGGCTTAAACACCAACAATCCACTGGTAAAAACAAAATACTCGGCATTCTTTTCCGGGCTTTGAATCATATGAATCTGATTCCTTTTTTATCACATGTAGGTAACTCCTGCACGGGAAATCTCACCAAAATAGTTTTTTTTTTTTTTTTTTTTTTTTTGATTACCTGTAAGTCAAGTCACGTCAGGTACCACCCTTCTTCCTTTAAATAATGTGATATCGCAATCGAATGCATGGACAAGCCCCCATTCTTGGCTGTGAACTTATCAAGTGTGGTGTGTGGCCCGGCCGCGGTAAATGTTAATCTATTGTAAGTATGTAGTTTCGTTATGAAATCGGAAGAAGGATAGAGGACCGGTAGACAAATGCGTATGTGCTTTGCATGGCTTTCGTCCATGGTCTACCCCATCGAATACCCAGCTAGAGAATGTACGTACTGTGGTAGGGTTCCATTTATAAGATCTTAAAAGAAGCCAGAGTTGATACCTGAAGGATTATCGTTTTCTAGAGGCGGGTTGGATGCATGCACATATCGTAACACAAGCTGTATCTACTCGTGCGAGAAGAGGTACAGTACCTTTACTATCGTGATGTGGATGACGTGCAATCAGCCAACGAGAATTCGACAACCCTGCGCACAATCTTTCCATGCATACCAGGGAGCTCCCACCCTCGCCAAGGTCGAGCATTGATAAATTGTAACCAAGGATTCATTCATCCGAAGAAGGGGGAACACCAGAAAAAGGAAAGAAAATAGATAACCATCACGAAAGAATTTTTTTTTAAAGGTGTACTGCCGACATCATCTAATAACCGTTTGGACGAGAGGGCAGGGCCCCTCACTCGCAGAAAGTTGCTGTGGTAAGTACCGAGGGGTTAATCCGGCTAAATCACACCGAGTCTACTTACATGCCAATGAGATACCAGTAGCTACAACGGTGCTGTATGTATCTACTCTACCTGAGTAGGTACTGTAACTGATAGAGTGGATTAGCTCGCAAGGTTACAGCAAGTATGCGTAGGGATCGTTCTAGAGCGCCAAAACATCGAGTTAGCTTAGCGCAGTAGATACATGTATGTAGGTACCACATGCAAAGAATACATACCACGATATCTTTTTTTCCCTTTGTCTCGTTCAACGGGTTAAACCGGTTATAATATTCTTAGAAGAGACCGGGAATCAATCACTCGCCCGTGATCCGTTATGTGATAGAAAGACTGCATCTCTTCTCTCTAAGTTAGTGTGAATGGGAGGGGGTATAATTGACTTACATATATAGTTTCTGCTGTGCTGCCTTCGGGGAACCGTTTTTCATACCCCGTGCATGGTGAGGAAGGAGGGGTTCTACCTGCACAACTACATGTAATCACCAGCGCGGCGAAAACCACGGTTGTTTGCGATCTCCTGTCTCCGGATGGCGCAAAGGAAAGTGAGGGAGCTTTGGGAAGATGCTGTGTTCCGTTAAAGACTATGGGAAACAAGTTCGGCATGCAAAGGATTGAACGGAACGAAGAGAAACATCATGCAGTGAATTCGAAATACACCGTCATGATTTGATTTTTTTTCTCGTGTTACACATGGCTTTTGTGTTACCAACCTACCACCACATCCCGAGACATTCGGTGGTCCGGATCTGAATACAATACCCCCGAGTCCCGACCACAGATTACCGAAGTTGGATCCACAGGCATCCCTGTGTGCGCTCTGCTCTACACAAGACCTCTTACCCTTCGAGTAAGCAGCTAGCAGCATGTTTTAGAGTGATATAGCACCCTAGGGTATGCACTATAGCGCGACAAGTTACAACTCTAGCTAGAGAAGTATGTAGGTACATACAGCCGTGTTCTAGAGTAGACTCCTCTAGGTCTCCTACTTGTATGTAGGCTCTTCGATATGAGCGTAATGCGTTTATGCTAGGTAGGCTATAGTAAGAATACATGTAGATTCATGCAATCTAGCTGGGGTTGCTTACATGCATGTACTTTAAGTACCTACATGATGCCCGTAACTACAAGGGATCAAATTAAAGTAGTTCTTCACGCACCTCCGAAGCCATCCCCGCTTCCTCTTATGTTGGGATTGAATATGGTTCTTTTGAGGTCTAAAACAGTAGGCAGAGCAGTAGGTTCCTTGAATGGCTGTCTCACTCAGCTACATACCACTACCCCTCATTGAACGGATTTTACACCATCCGCAGATGCAGGACTGAGATGACCTGAGACTCTTCTCGTTTTGAAAACAGGGGTTAGCTAAATTCATCTTCCTTTTTTTTTTTTTTTTTTGCCACCGGGAAAAGGATAGAGGGAAAAACATCTTCAATGACTTTTTTTCGGCAATGCTGGGCTTACCAGGTTTTGAGACGGTATCCCGGTGGAATGCTTGAGGCGCCTTACCTTGTACAACTTTGTTTTCACACAGTAGCTCCTAGGCTGGCCAAATCTCTGTGATGTTTCGCTGCCCTCTATCTATATGGTCACGAGTCACTCAGACGGGTATAGATACATGTGTCTTTACCGTTCGAGATACATTTCATGAGGAATACGCTTGATGTAGTTAGATGATTAATGGAAACTGGTACTGTCCCTGTGACCAAGGAATATTCTACGGTGCCGGAACCGGTGACGATGGGCCTGTCGTATTTCCTCACAAAACCCCCTACGTGCCGAATTTATCTCGCCTTCCGAAGGGGGGGTCTAATTCTAAGACAAACAATCTGTAGGCATTTTTTTTTTGTTTAATAATCTGTAGGCATCATTAGAATTACAGATTGTCCTTTTTCGAGGAGCGGACAGGGCTAATTGATGGAGTTATTACAGGCTTAATGACCACCGCCAAAACTAGCCTAAAACCATAGTTTATCCCGTGTGGCCAGATAATCACTCGGAAATGTGGTTTATTAGCACCTAAATCACCCAGTAAACCGTTTTTTCATCTGGGATAGTAGCCACCATCTAGGCTTGTCGTGGCTGGTACCATAGAGACCGCATATTATAGATGTATGCTGGGTATGATCAGTATAGTTAAGCACCGAAAGCCAATATCCTATTATAACTACAACTTTACAATTCACTACATTTTTCAGTTGTTTCAGTCATTTCTTTTATAAATACCTAACCTGGCCCTCCCTCCCTCAATTTCAAATATTCCTCACCCAAACAACCCTTTTCCCCATGTTAAAATCGGCCGTTGGTATCTTGGTCTATCCCATAGTCCGTTAAAGCTGCCTATTGATTCGGGCGGCGTATTTTCAGCTGTGGCTTGTGTCTGGATCACACACATATTCGGCTGCCACCCTTCCTCTTTTAGTAATTATAATATTCTGTCAAATAGACAGCATCTAAGCACCGGATTATGGGATAGATATAAATGACAAAGGTCCGCGCTAGCCTTTGTTAGTACAGATCGATTAAAAAGCACTGAAGCTGGTGATCAGTGCCAACTACATGTAGTATTACACCCACCAGTACCCCTAGTTTAGGCCCAGACCATTTAGCTTCTGAGGACTAAATACTTGTATACGGTGTCTAACATAGCAGGCGCACCATCTACCAATTTCTCACAGTGTCCATAGTGACATCTCAGAAGCCTAGCTGGTGCCTCGACTTGAGTCAGTCCATTACATTAAGTGAGAGAAATATGTGTGTTAAACGCGCTTAACGAGTCTTAGGCCTCCATGAAGTTATTCAAGTCAAGTAGATTTGAATGTATAGCCCGGGACAAACGCCCCCTTCGCAATTCGGATTCCTATTTATTTCAAGCGGTGTTCTCATATACGTAGAATTAAGGTGAAGCGGCTGTTTTTCCCTTGTTTTCTCTTGACTTGTCTTGTCTCTACTCATGGTTAGGAGCCCAACTCGAGTTTTCTTATGAAGCAACATGTAGTTTGTGAATGCCAAGATATATGTAGTTCTAAACGAGTGATCGTCTGTGATTGAAATCGATTTTTGCGGTTATATTAACATGGAGGGATTTGATCGTTTTTGATTGTTATCAAGACCTAGGGCGGTACTACCCAGAGCCGGATTAAACTTTGAGCTGATAAGTTGTCAATATTAGGTACCAGCGCCTGGTACGCTTTGCCTGTGGCGCCGAAAATGGAAACAATTTTTCGGTGACGTCATACTAGACCTTTTAAGCCACCAGAGAAAAAAACAACCTCTACTAGCCAGAGGTAGCAAGTATGATATTTTCTACGCCGCTCACAGAGGCCACTGTAATGGTATCAAAAGTACAACCGTGATAGCATGGCTATTAACTGCGTTTACCTGATCACACCAACCTCGTATAGCTAGTAGAGGATTATCTTTTTTTTCGCCGATCTTTTTTTTGTTGCAACGGACGGTGGCTTAAAAGGTCTACTCATGTGTTCGGAATTCTTAGTAGGGATTTGGTTGCAACGATATCCGACCATGGATTTAATGAACGCCCGAGTATATTTCACAGAGAAAGAAATAAGAGCTGTACTAACAGTTTATGATGAACTGAAATACTAATGTATATTCTCTACGTATGTTATCGTGATGCGATTATCGTTTACTAACGAATATTCCACAGTTCTACGTCCCTAAGGGGAATCCTACTTCCTTATGTTTAGTTCCTGAAAGATGAGGTCTTAGGTTCGAGTTAGGGACGCCCAACTACCTGCTCGCCAATTGACGAAAAAGAATAGATGGAAACCCATCGAATCGGACTAGCGTGACACTCCCTGAGTTAATATAGTAACCTCTGCAGAATATAAGTATCGGTGACAACTGACATAGCATAAAATTTAAACACGAGGTCGTTTCGTATTATCACCGTCCAACTCGCATCATCGACGAACTTAATTAGTTTCATTGTGGTTACCGCAATTCATGGCATCGATCGACCCCCAATCTCGAGGGAAATCTTCGGCATCTCGATTTCGTGAGTCGCGTAATGAGCTCAAAGGCGTCGATAAATACGTCGCGTGGCCGTTCGTTCGTTGAGCCACCGAGTTATACTCCCGAATCAGCAAGAACGTAGACCTGTTATAAACCTGGTACGTCTACTCACATAGTACCCAAGCGGGCATCTATCAAATTGAACCTCGTGTTGACTTTCAGCGATAAAGCCGCGATGATTTCAAGTATCCGTGCACCAGGGATATCCCGCGCTCTATTGAAGTGAGTAGCTAGCGAGGCATGCGTACAGAAGGCCTGGGTTCAGCCCAACGAAGTCCGGCATTTTCAGATCACCATCAGCCATATCGGCTAAGCGAGAGATGACACTAATGTTTGTTCAGTATATATTAAGATAAAAGAATCGTTTGGTGGAACCCACGACGATTTGAATTCGAGAGGGCTTCGTTGGTTGTTGGTGTTGAGTCCGAGATGTTCGGGGGAGGGAGTAAAGGACACTTGGTAGGGTATAAACGCTCTGAAATTCGTCGTCCCTGGGCGTTTATCTGGGGCTGTGATATTCAGAAAACCGATAACTCTGTATAGGATAAGATAATCTAGTGTTATTTTGCTTATACAATTGTGCCGCTCTTATAGGTGCGGTGGTCCATGATAACTCGTTGAACGGTTGGCCATCTCTCTATCTTTGGTATTAGTATATTAATAATTCCGGCCTTTATAATTATGTATTCTAAAGAGTAATGTTATATTTAATTGAGTATGAGACGATTGTAGGTAAGCACTGCAAGGGCTAGTACTTCTCAATTGAAACACTCATGATCACATGATCGGTGAGCCTCCGATTGGCCCGTATATTTCTTGCAACAGACAACCAATGATCTACTAGTAAAACAGTCCATAAAGCAGGGAAAAGGAATATTAAGCTCAGAACCAGGCTCCCCGCGCTTGGATCCCATCTCCCCCGCTTCCCCATCAACATCATCTCCTTCCCAAAAATATCATCTGTAACCTCTCGATCCCGCTACACTACAACGACCCAATACCAAAAATTTCAATCAGCCTAACAAGATGGATTCCTCTGAACCGCTCCGCCTTCATACCTTACCTGTCGATATCATCATAGACATCTTCAAAGCTCTGCCGAGCTTTGCCTTAGTCCCCCCCTTGTCTTGACTCATCGCGTCTTTAACGATGTATGGGTTGCGAATTTCAACGAAATCGCACCATTCATCGCACGTAAAAACTTCCAGCCTTGGTCGGATGCTCTTAACCTTATGCTCGAACAAAAGAACCTTGACTATGATGTCATCGCTCTCCCCGGTCCGTACTTGCGCCTCTCAAAGGATGATATCGCCCAACTACAGAATAACGCCCGCTACGTGAATTATCTCCAAAGAAAGCACAACGAATGGAAAGAGGGATGGTGGAAGCGCCCTCTTACAGAGTGCGAGGTGTTGCGCTACCACAGGGCCACATATCGATTGTGGAAGTTTATGCTCACAATGTATCTGCCGAAATGTGAGGATATGTGTGATGGATACACGATTATGGATCTCATCGATATGCAGACAGCCGCGAGGAAGTTTGATGTCTATTATGATTTCGAAGTGACAGGGTTGCCGAATTTTGAAAAGGCTCCCACGGGCACGGCGATCAACAGTTTGTCCGGCATGTTAAGGCGACGGGTCGCTGCATTCTGTGAGTGCGATGAAAGTATCGAGTTGGACGATGTATACGAGTGCAACAAGAAGTATGCGGATCTGGTGATGCTGGACCCGGAGGAAACCGAAAAGGATAAGAAGTGGGAGGAGTCTGTGATCGGGAAATTGGAGCACTGCGAGAAGAAGTTGAAGGAGAAACAGCAGGGGGCTGCCGCTGCAAAGACTACGGCCTGAGAACGAACAAAGATAACACAAGCTGTTTTTTTTCTTTGGGGATAGGTAACATATAGGACGAATACCATATTTTCTTTACTTTTTCTTGCTTTCTTTCTACAGTCTTTTACCGTCTCTTGACGAATACTGCCAGTTGACGAACAGGGGACTTTGGGCCAATAGAAATTAAAAGGACCGGAGATCTCGTAGCTTGGCTGTTGCTTGACTATTTCTTTCCATACTTGGAATCCCTGTTCGTCAAGTGGCAGTATTCGTCAAGAGACGGTAAAAGACTGTAGTACTCTTGTTCTATTACATCTTGTTTCGTTTGCTCTCTGCCTTAAATGGGTTTGGAAGCTTGGACCAGGTGGATAAAAGCTGGTTTCAGTTTTGTTTCGGCCCTGCTTCAATCTGCAGAACTTGATACAAGTTAATACACACTCTCTCTTCTTTTCGGCTGGGAGGCCGTGAACTGGCGCCGTCATGTACTCAATCATTTTTCAGTTACGGATATAATTTGCTATGTGTATCTTGCATTGGTTGTCATCATTCCAGCAGCTGTATCATCCTAGGGCAAGTTGCCTTCACCCGCATACAAAACTTTCTTGTGGATGAATTTAGTTAGTTGAATCATGTACCTCGTCTCATTTTGGCACCTCGAAGCATTTCATATTTGCAAACGTGTTTGCGGCTTTCCTTGTTAACACTCCCGCCGTATGCTCTTGTTTGGGATGTTATACTTCATAAGACCAATATAAAGATTGCTGCAACAACAGTGACATCATTGTCCTTTGGGTGTGAGTTAAAAATCAGGGTTATTACTCAACATCTCAAATATTGGGAGGTGGCGTATCGTGCTCAAGTCCTACATGCAGTCTGCAGAAATTCTAGCCTATAACGTGTGTAGTACTGTATTATATGGAAATCGCTGATAAAATCCGTTCCTTAAATCTCACGTATGCGCTGTCACTATTTGCCCCTAAGGGATTAAATCCGATTGATCGATGTGCGATATACTTATTTACCACGAAAAGAACCAGAAAATGCAGTTGCTCAGGGCAAGGATTATTTGTATGGAGTGGCGGTGATCTCTCATACAAACTATCCCTGTTTCCGTCACTTGCACTTTCTGGTTCTTTTCGTGGTAAACGGGTATATATATATATGCGCCTAAAAGACGGGCAAAACCTTTTCAAAAAAGTCAATTGCCGAAGTTTCTGCCATGAATTCCGAATCATGTTTTCAAAAGTAACTGTTGAGATATAATGATACATGTGATATTTTAATCTCTTTACTTCCTCATCAGGTCATGGCGGCGTGATGGCACAAAATAGAAGAGGGATAGCTACGATACTTCATGCCGGAGATCGAGAAACCCAGGTTCAGACAGCGGCTTATATTTAGCCAAGAGTTGGTATTTCATATATGGTTGGGTCTGAGGGCCGTTGGTCTACATTCCACGCGCTGGAGCGGTCTTACTCAGAGATGCAGCAAGATGCATTTGCATTCCATAGAAAGCCTACGAGGGAATAATCCTGCTCAGCCGCTTCTCCAATATCATGATTCGTCACTCGTTGTTTGATTACTATACAGGGCTGAATAATAAGCCAATAACCTGTCTCGTCATAACACGGCTTGGGCCAATGATATTTGGATCGAGGTGGGATTTGCCTCCACAAAATCTTAAAATTTCCTAGTTGATCAGGCGCTTACTCTATTTGTGGCTCTGGATTCTCTGCTGGTAATTCAGGGTGGAGAAAAATGCCTTGCTACATACCTTCACTAATATTGGGTTGTCAGTGATTTGGGGGCCTGCCAAGACATAGGGCTAATAATTTGGATAATAATTTGGATATATGAGGTTAGACGGACATTGGTGCACTTGGAAGGTAGGTTGTAGTAGAGTAGGGATTGCCGCATGCGCAGGCCACCGTTTAAGTCTGAGCTACCTACATAGGGTTTTAAAGAACACGTTGAGCTAAGAGGAAAATGATCAAACTGATATCAACGTCAAGAGCAATTGTTTCCATCCCAGCTCGTGGTTCCTCAATAGTTTAAAGACCTGAGCGGGGAGCGCCGGACGGCGACAAGCGTAAAACAAACAGATCGTAGTCGGATATCTGTCTGTAGAGTACCTAATGTCCGTGATCACATGGAGGAAAGTCCCAGATCGCAATCCCGCTGTATCCGTGGAGATATTTAGATGTGTGTTCATGTCATGCAGAATAGTGGAAGATTGCCCCTAGGAAGGTCCCGAACGAATTATTCCCCGGCCTGGCTCGGCTGATGCGTTATTCAACCCAAGTGGGCGTCAAATGATATTTTTTCCTAGGCCCCACTTGTATGGAGGTGAGGTATGGCTAAGCATTGAAGTTCTGTTCCCGTTTCAGGTTGTGAAATTGCATAAGTGGATGGCGAATCAAGGTTGGTCCCGCACTGAGGCGTTTGTCCCTCGAAGCTTATCTGCGGCGCCACACGGGGGTAGTCTGTTTGGGACTGCGAACTTCCTTTCTGGACTTGAGATCGTCACAATCCAACGACAGCTTCCCTTCGAAGGGAGAGATGCTCGAATCAACTCCGAATAGGAATCCTGGTGGAGAACGCTCTCTAAAATACTCTAGAGTTTAGTCGGTTAACCGGCATCGACAGGAGACATGTATCTAGGTCTTTTGATACGTAATAACTCGCTACCAAAACAATTGTTTGGCTGTCTCAGGGGGCCAGGGCTTTAAAGAGCCTGACAAAGAGATTTACGTACCTATCCAATCTCAGATAGATCGCCCAGTAAGATGATAGGGAACGTTCCTGCATATCTGGTAGGAGCAAGGGATACCCAGAGAGGCGATTTTTCAGCTGCCTTCTCAGGCAATACAGCCCGAAAGATTTCATCAAAAGGCTTGTTTTTTCACGCTGGTATTGGTAGTTGGGAGTGTCAGCAAATAGTATCACTCGCGGAAAACGGCTTGCCATGGTTAGAGGTGTGGAATGAATGTACACCTCACAGCACTGCGGGAACTAGTGGGATTAAGGCTAAGTTACTTACATGTAGTATGTTCATCCTCCCTGACCTATGGTTTTGTTGTTATGACATGTGGTGAATAGATGTACCACATATGCGTATATCTACCCGCATTCTCCCACATAAAGCTCGGCATCGACATCTTGGAAGTCTTGGTCTCTTCGCCCTCCTCTGGCTAGTTTTGTTCTAAGCAGAAAAGTTCTGGACTTACCTTTCTGCTTTAAGAGAGTTTATCAGGGTTTTCACATCTGGTATGGACCACATTCTCTTTTACACCACTTCAAACCCCCACCTTCTACATTACTACATGTAGTAAACACATCTCGATCTAAGAGACAGCCTATTGGATCTGTGAATTGGTACATGATGAGCTGACAGTCCGAGATCTAGTAACTGCCAAGATGCGGTACGTCAACTTTTCAGTATGGCCATTCGTTGCCCTAGTAGGTTTCGCACTAAGCGTACCAGCTGCCTCGACTTCAACTCCCTATGAAGTTTTTGAGGAGCTTCCTATGGCTCCCGAGGGGTGGACAGAGCTGCCATCAATGCGAGTAAACTTGCAGAAATCAATGGCAATGCGCATTCACCTTGCCCAACAGAATGTTGTCAAGTTTGAGCAGAAGGTTATGGAGATCAGCACCCCAGATCATCCTTCCTACGGTGACCACATAGATACCAAGCAAATCAAGAGCATACTGCGGCCATCTCAAAGTACTCTTAACGCAGTCCTCGCGTGGTTAGAGGATGCTGGTCTTGGCGAGCAAGCCGTTGTTGAACATGACTGGATCAAGATGAATGTCACTATTGGTCAAGCACAAGAGCTTCTGCAAACAAGATACTCTTACTTCCGTAACGACGAGACCCAAAAGATTATCCTTCGTACCCTTTCTTACAGCCTCCCGGCTGAAATCCATAAGCACATTCTCCTGGTACAACCTACCAACATGTTTGGCATGAGACAAATGGGAAGCGCTATCATCAAAGAGGTTGAAGATGCATCTTTGCGGCAGATGAAGGCCTTCAAACAGATGGCACCCGGATTCAATTTCACTCAATGTAATGATACCATTGTTCCCCAGTGCCTAAAGGTTCTTTACAACTTCCAAGACTACGTTGCCAAGGCACCCTACGGTAAGAATAAGCTGGGTGTAAACGGCTTTCTTGAGCAGTACGCCCAGTATGAAGACTTGAAGGTCTTTTTGCAGAACTATACTCCCAAAGCCATCGGCGCAAACTTCTCTACTGTATCAGTCAATGGGGGATTAGCAATTCAAAATTCATCCAACCTTGACGGTATCGCAGAAGCAAATCTCGATATTCAGTATACTGTCTCTCTAAGCTATCCCACTCAGAATATATACTACTCGACCGGTGGAAGGCCTCCTTACATCCCGGACCTCGACATAGTCACAAACGATAGCGAGCCTTATCTGGATTGGCTTAACTGGATTTTGGATCAGCCGGATATCCCTCAGACGATCACCACAAGTTACGGAGAGAGCGAACAAACCGTGCCTCTTAGCTACCGCCATACCGTCTGCAATCTTTTTGCTCAACTCGGCGCCCGCGGTGTCAGCGTCTTATTCTCCTCCGGTGATGCCGGCCCCGGCTGGTCGTGTCGCTCCAACGATGGCAAGAATACAACAAAGTTCCTCCCTACATTTCCAGCCTCTTGCCCTTGGGTAACTAGTGTTGGTGGAACCAAAAATATTAATCCCGAAGAAGCTGTATATTTTTCTTCTGGCGGATTCTCGGAGACATGGCCTGTACCTTCATACCAGGAGAAGGCCATCTCTGCCTACTTCGAGAACAATCCGGACTCATGGAAACCGTGGGAACAGTATTTCGTTAAAGGGGGGCGTGGATTCCCAGATGTTGCTGCTCAGGGTTTCAACTACCGTGTAATTCTTAACGGGACGGTTAATCTGATTGGCGGTACATCCGCTAGCTCTCCAGCCTTTGCTGGACTTGTTAGTTTATTAAACGATGACCGTATTGCCAACGGAAAGCCACCACTCGGATTTCTCAATCCGTGGCTGTACTCTGATAAAGTTGCGGAGACGTTCAATGACATCACGCATGGAAGGAGCACGGGATGCAATGGAAAAATGTGGGGCCAGCCGATTGCGGGCAATCCAGCTGTTGTTCCAGGTGCTGGGTGGGATGCAGTTCCAGGATGGGATCCCGTCACGGGATTGGGGACTCCGAACTTTGAAAAGATGAGACAGTGTTAGTTTTTTGGAGTGTATAGATTGCTATAGGAGTGTTCCTTTGTTGAGCGTGTCGGGTTTATATCTTGTTCATGAGTTTAATGAAGTCTATAACCTGTTTGTGGCTCCTGTTTGAATTTTCGTAAGACTCATGAGCCATCACTCGGTCGGTACAAGTGTGTAACGCCGATCCTTCCGCTTCTAACATGTTGGAGTAGCAGCCGCCTGCCTGAGAGATGTGTCATCCAATATCGTAATATAAAATTCTCAAATCGTAAAGGTCTTCAACCATCCTACAGTATCGTCAGCACCACAAGATGTAACCCCTATAGCACAATTGATCTAAGCTGACCGTACCCTATACAAATCCACAACACGGAATGAACATAGAGCAGGAGCCTCACGACATACTAATACTATTACCGCCACTTATGGCCTAGAGAAACATTAACGCCGCAAAATATATACATACGAGAGCAGCAGTATCGCCTATTGCCATAACTATAAGGTTGCATCCAATTAATAAATTAAAGAAAAAAAGAAGAAAAAAAGAAGAAAAAAAGCAGCAGTATCGCCAATCACAGCTCATCACTCGGATGTCAACATCAGGCCGCAAGCTTAATGCGTCCAGCTAGCCATTTATACTTCGACCTCGCAATATTTGCCGCCGTCCCGCTAACTCATTTAATCATATGGAATGCGATATAGCCGTTTCATGAGACGCTGTATGTAAGTGGGAGGGCAGAGGCGGTAGCAGTGTCGAGGCCGAAGTGGAGCTGGGGTACAGTACAATCTCCTCACAAGGATACAAAAGTGGCGCGAAGTTGTACCCTTATAGGAGGAGCAAATCTACACCTACGAAGCCCATTGAGAACCCAAACACCTACCCTTATAAGGCGAATACCTTAAAACCAAACCCTAATAAGGAGATTGTACTGTAGCTGTCGGGGCTTCTTACGGGTGTGGGTAGATGGTTGAGAAGGATTGTAGAAATTCTAACGACCATAACCATATATGCATACGGGGTCCCAGTATTGTATGCCAAGAGGGTCTAAACGCTCAGAAAGGTGATATGGAGAATGAAATCAAGTACGTACCCCCAGTGCGATAAGTATTGAATTGCGCCAACTCCCCATGTGAGGAGAATCAGATGGCTCTATATCTCTAGTCGGATGAAGAGATCGTGCGTGATATCTGTTTGGTACGTCGATAAAGTATAAAATTAATACTATGGGGTGGGCTCATCTCGAACCAAACAAGTGCATACAAACGAAAAAAGAAAAAAAGAAAAAAAAGGTAATTAAATGAAGAAGCAAAAAAGTAAATGAAAGAAAGACGAAGGAAGAAACAATATATACTAATATAACCCCCCGTACAGCACAGAATTCTATATCGAGTGATATCTCATGATACACCCCCGCCGCTACATCTTCGACGTCCCGGCGCTTGGAACGCATGCATTATGACGGAGGCTCTCTTATATCATGACCATGAGTTTATAATGAGTATTTGGTTGGCCTCTGTAGATACAGGTTGACGTTATATTGTAGGCGTAGACACGAAGCAATTAAGGCTGTACGTGCGTAGATCTTTCCCCAATTCCCCTCTAGATCTATTGTCCCCACGGGTTCATCCTATATCTGGAACCCCGGGTCTTAGCGAGTGATGCATCATGACCGCTCGACTCCCATCCCAACTCGCTACATAGCTAGCTAGCTAGGTCCACGATTACGAAATTACTGCCACTTCTACTCCGTCTCGAGGACATCAATAATCAACTAAACCCACACGAACATACCACGCCCCGGCCCAAAAACTACTCCACCACTTCATCACATACACCGGCAAGCACTCTGAGCAGTCCGGGCCGGCCGTGATCATCAATGCAGAACTATGTACTAGTATTTCGCTGACGTTTTTGAACTGGGCCATTATTGCATACACCCAAAATCATGATCTTGGCGTATTTTTGTATGGCATGCAATATCAGTCGCGTCCACAAACGTCAGAGAAATACGAGTACTCTACTCCGCATTACTAGAACGCAGAATTAACTAGAACGTAGATCCACAACCCCTCTAGAGTACTCCGAGTTAACAGCGGGGCGGGCGGACGCGGGCGGACGCCATACTTCGCACGTCACGTCACGTCAGTATCCCGAGGATCACATCACGACACCGCTCTCCCCTGCTGTACTCCATGGTAACGGCACCTAGAGTGCATTACCGGTATACCCCCGGCCAAACAAAAAAGCAAGACGGGATCCCGCGGGAAAAGCAAAGGAAAGACTCTAGAACAGTGCCATGGCATATAAATCGGGCCTCTAGAACGTTTTGCCTGAGTAATTGTGGAATGGTGATCGTAATGGTGGCATGGTGGGATGTGTCGATGTGTGTGGATGTCTGGATGTGGTGGTGGGAGATCAAAGAAGCAAATATCGTTTTTCCTGTGCCCCCCATGAACAAAAGCAATTTGTCGAAAAAAAGTAGTTATGGAGAATAATAAAAAAAATAAAAAAAATGGAAGGAGCGAAAAGAAATGATGGAGAGAACAAATCGCAAAAAAGAAACAGGAGGTAAAAAGAAAAGAGATCACAATGTGATATGTTTCCCTGCGTACACCACGCAGCTCAGATACATTACCACTACTCCACACTACACGGCACCACGTACGCCGCACGCCGTATGTGCCGGGGCCGGGGGGAGTATGTATGTAGTATGTGATCGACGACGTACGGACCGGTATTCTAGGCAGATACTCTACTCTAGTAAAACGCCTAAAAATAACTCTACACGTACCTAGAAAGAATTGCACATCTAAAAAGAAATCTACCTCTAAAAACTAAAAAAAACCCTACTCCTGAAAATTAAAAGAAGAGGCCTAGTCTAGCTAGATATCGATTTACCAGCTAGAATGTCCTGAATGTCGGGGACAGAGCCGGCCCGAGGGGTCGTCTATATTAGAGGAGGATTGTGTTATATACATGTATATAACGTTGTCAATATAATATGTTACAATTATTAGTGCATGCAATAATTATCTAACAACCAAGTACTTGTAAGTATGTAAGTGCTGGCCGCTTCAGAATATCTCATAGGGGACCATGAAACAACCCACAGAACCAAACCGTCGCCGATATCACTCTTAATCCCAGCGTATGGCCCAATTAGATATTATTATCCCTCCCGCCCTCGACTGATTGCAAGAACCTCCAAAAGCACCACCCAAAACGAAGTCTTCCCCACCAGATGCTACTCTACTGAGTGTACCATTACAGGGATCACCAATCCCACCCATCCATCCATCCCTCCCCTGCCGATCCATCTCGGCAGCCACTACCTTTCGGGAAGCCAAAAACCAAATATAGAACAACCCTTTCTTCCCTGTCACTCTGTGGGTTAGGGTTCCCACCGCGATAAGGCACTGCAACCTCGTCGAATCGTCGGCGGCGGGGGGAGGAAGGTGAGAGTCAGAGAGGGGAGCTCCTCTGCACATCTTATGAGGAAGGAGGTATGTACATGAGCCACTCTAATCCACCCCCCTGACGTATGCTGGCCGGATAATCTTCTGCTCTATAACGTAACGTCATGTAGGTACTGTATGTAGGAGGAGAGTGGAAAAAATGTCATCCTGCGGCACCAATCAAATCCAATCCAACCCGATACACTCCGGTCCAAACTCAACACCGCCGTGGGAAACCCTCGATATCCGTACCGGCCTCTGGGAATAGCGGATATCTACATATCTATCCCGATAGACAATATATTTGCTTTCTTTCCAACCCCACCTCCGGTCTGATCAGCAGTAGCAGCGAGATATCTCTACATACATATAACTCTCCGGTCGATCACAGTATACACCTACATACAGTACAGCAGCCGGTATCCTCCACCCAACAAAGAAAAGAAAAAAAAGAAAGAGAAGAAGAAAAATCAACTATACACTATCACCAAATGCTGCCCTTCTCCGCCGTGACCACTCGGACAAACACACCTGCTCCTAGCTCGCCCACAGAGGCCCGCGCCCTCTATCCCCCGGATGTCCTGAGCAATGCTGGCGAAGTCAAGATGGCCGAGAGTCGGGTGTTGCTAATCATGACCGGTAACTCAACTGCCCCCCGCACGCGATAACTTCTGTGGAACGAATGGGTCACTGATAGGGAGTGAGTTCAACAGGAGGCACAATCTGTATGGTTAGAGGGCCGAACGGATATGTTCCTGTAAGAAAAGCACCTTTCTTTCCCACCCCCCCCCCCCCCCCCCCACTTATCGGTTTTGTGCGGAAAGGTCTGATTGATTGGTTTGCACATAGGCCAAAGGCTTCTTGGAGTCCTGTTTGAAGCCACGCCCGTCCTTCAACGACGGCTCACCGGTCAAGCAGGTACCGGTTGCTGTTGCCGATGGCGTCACAAAGATGGTGGATACTCTACGTGCGCTTCTCCCCCGCCTTTTCGCAGACACCAATCGCGCCCACCACTAACTACTGACTGATGCATAGGCACCCCGCCATCAAAGCATTCCCGTAGAGTGCGCTTTGCCGCCCTCGAGTTTGATCCATTGCTCGACAGCTCCAGCATCAACGCAAAGGGATGGGGCGAGATTGCGAGGGCGATCCAACGGAATTATACCCTCTTTGACTCGTTTGTCATCTTGCATGGGACGGACAGTCTGGCCTACACTAGCTCTGCCCTGAGCTTCATGATCAACAATCTGGGAAAGTCGGTCATCTTGACGTGAGTACATTGCGCCTCTCCCCTCATGCTAATTGGAGATGGGCGTTGACATCTGGGATCGCACCACAGAGGCTCGCAAGCTCCCATGTCGGAGCTCCAAAACGATGCTACGGATAACCTCCTTGGAAGTCTAATCATTGCGGGGCACTACATGATTCCCGAAGTTTGCCTATTTTTCAACCACAAGCTTTTTCGCGGGAACCGGTATAATTTTATTCCCTCTGAAACCTTCTATCTATTTCTGACAGGGATTATGTCTTTCCCAGAGCTACCAAGACCAATGCGCATGATTTCCATGCATTCACATCGCCAAATTTCCCCCCACTTGCTCGGGTTGGTATCTCGGCGAATATCAACTGGCCTCTGATCGAGCGCCCTTCCACCATGCAACCATTCTCAGTCCAGACAAGTCTATCAACGGCCCATGTGGCATGTCTGAGAATATTCCCAGGAATCTTGCCGGAGATGGTGCGAGGTGTTTTGGCGTTGAAGAATTTGCGTGGATTGGTTCTGGAGACATTTGGTGCTGGAAATGCGCCTGAGGACGGAGAGCTGATTGGCGTTTTGAAGGAAGGCGCCCAGAACGGAGTGGTAATTGTTAATGTTACTCAATGCCAAGTGGGATCTGTGAGTCCTTTATACGCATCTGCAACGAGTTTGGCGAAAGCTGGCGTTGTTTTTGGTTTGGATATGACTAGCGAAGGTATTTGTTTCAACCCTCAACTTTTGTTTATCACTCACTTGGCTCTGCCCCATTGACCTTATCTGTTATCTTTCTTGCTTTTTCCTCTTCGCTTGTGGAAACCCTGTTTCCTGGAAATGCTTAATTGGACGTCATCTGGGCTTGGGGCCGTTGTACAGCTTCCGGGGCGGGAATATCGATCTGCGAGAACAAACGCTGACATCTTGGTGGTGGTTTCAGCGGCCCTGACAAAGTTGTCTTGCCTCCTCGCCAATGCCGATCTCTCAGTGCAAGAGATCCGGAAAGAGATGTCTCGCTCCATCCGCGGGGAACTGACAGAACAGTCAGAGATACATTTTGCCCATCCAAATTCATTCCTGCCGCCCAAGGTGTCTTCCTTGACAGCGCTTGGATACGCCGTTGCCAATGGGAGTCATGAGGAGATCACAGCCATCATCAAAGAGACAAAGGAATTCCTGCTTAATGAATTCGATTACTCAGGGAATACACCACTGGTGAGTGATATTTTCGATTTCCTTGTCTCATCTTTTCCTTTTGCTTCTTCTCGGGGGTGCTGTTCCCGTCATCCAATGAAGGTATTGGTTGCAAAGCAAATGGATGGGGGCAGCCCTTCGTTTAGGGATCGTTGCCGCTGATCCCGTGCACCCTTTTCTCACAATTTCATCCTTCACGATGCATTACGTCATGAGTTCGGATTTCGTCCCCCTTCCCGTTACATAATTTGTTGATCCGGGCCACCAATTGGCTCCTGGCAGCCCCCACCCTTTTCCAATCTCCTCCCCAGGATCAGGGTATTCCTTCTACTCTTTACCTAGTCAGCCATCTTTTTGGGTGTCCAGACTCCAGTGTTTTTTTGCTCTGCCCGGCGGCGAATGTTTGCTTCTTTTATTTTCATTTTTCCTTCGACTTAAACGGAGTCGCTGACGACGACCATTAATGAATTATAGCACCTGGCGGCCACGTGCGCAAATATCGATATCCTTCGTGACTTTCTGTCCCAGGGGGCGTCTGTGCATTTGCGTAACCGTGACGGAAGGACTCCTCTGTTCTTGGCTGCTGAAGCGGGGATAGAAAGGAACGTCGAGCTGCTAAAGAAGAGTGGTGCACATCTTCATGCAGATGAAGTGGATCTGGCCATCCTGCTTCTGAAAAAGGCTCAAGAGGCATCTGACGGTAATAATGGTGGTAATAATGGTGGTACTAATAATGGTAACGGTGATGCCAATGGGAATGGGAATGGGAATTTAAATGAAGCCAGGGTTAGGTGCTGGAAAGTTGCGGGGCTTTGAAAGGCTACAGTACTGGTAACGATGCATATAAACCCAGGCAGTTTTATATGTTTTTCTTCATTTTCTGCCCTTTTCTTTTTTCTTTACCCGGAACAAAACACTAGCTCAGCTTTCCTTCCTTTTTCTGCCTTTTTCTCGCTCCCCGAATCCAATCAACTGCCGGTTGTGCTTTCCCCCTTCTTTGAGGTCAAAAATAGTAAGCATTGGACGTCCGTCCCTCACCCGCATAACAGAGATGCTATTCCAGGGACACCTGGTTCACCAAGACACCAGCTGATTGACGGCGGGTGGACCAGGGGTTTATTCCGTAAACCGTGGGGTAGAGACGTAGCTAGAGTAGATGCATCTATCCGTGGTGAGCCGAGGATGAACGGAGGTCGCCATCAAGGTGCACAGGACTGGCAGCGTGAATATTAATTCTTTAATGATTAGAAAATAGCGATTGGGATATCTAAAAGCGGTTATAATACGGATATCTAGAGGTGTTGGTGTTGGGGGACAATGTGTTTTTTTTTTTTTTGCTTTCTAGATAATATATTAAAGCGCTTCGCTCACCTCCGCAGTTGGAAATATTGTTTCTATCGGACAAGTCCTTGGTCACGATACATTGAGTAGGTACCAACAATGCATGTCTGTGTAGAGGAGTATGCCGTGCACGCTAGATACGTACTAATAAGGATTACCCAAAGGTGTCTGCCCAATACCGGTAGACCGGTACTGCCAGGGATCCCAAAGAACTCTGAAAATCTTCCGGATCTGAGCACTGAAAAAAGAATACTTGGCTTGCCTTCCCCATTGGGGGATAATAATCGCCGTTCCGCACAGGGCAATGTTCTCGACCTTTTCCTCGGAGCTATCCACACATCGCCGAACGACGTGTCGGTGCTCAGGACAAGTATCATGAATCTCAAATATCAGGTTCGCACTTCATCCCACGTTACGTACAAAAAGGTACAGTATCCGGAAAGGCTGGAATTCTAATTCCCCACAGCTCGTGGGATGATGAGATTTTCCTGCAGTAGGCCAGGTACCAGACTACTTTCACACGGGGATGTCCAGGGGAAATGAACCGAACCTGGCAAATTCGTGCACAATACCCCCGGTCTTTTGCCAGCTGCAATGTCACGATGATATTTGTTCCAATTGCAATTGTTGATAACCAACCAGACAGAGGGAAGTGCCTGCAGGACGTTGAGATTTAGCTGGAAGTATGACGGGTTACATAACAACCGCATGCGAGAGAATCCATGCTGCATAGCCTTGTGACCCGAGCCCGGGGGTAAAAAGTTTTTTTTTTTTTTTCCCTCTTCTCTTTCCTTCTCTTCTTCTCGCCTTTTTATGTAGACTTATCGTGATGTCTCTCCACGAATTAGCGCACGGGCCTTGCAGCGAAGGATGTTACAAATGCAGGGTAAGAGGGCTTGTACCTATGGACTCCTGGTCCTGTGGTACTTCCTGTACTCTGGAGTACACCGAACACCGAGGATAAAGTGGAGAAGCGGCACCATGTGTTCCAATTCTTCAAGATTATTGCTCTATCATACCCATTTTGTACTCGAATCGTTTCTCTTGTAGTGATTTGCCAAGATCACCGACAGGGGCTCCTCCTTTCGCTTGCAATGGTCGCAAGGAGAACTAGCTGTCCCTATGTAGTTGGAATTCCTGGGTTCTGCGACCCAACGTCTGCTGACTTGAATTTTTTTTCTTCGTTCCTGTCCAGGCAAGCAAGCCCACAAGGTTGTTAGGTAGGTCGGCTGTTACGTAAATCTGCCACTGCCGCTCGACAGGTTTGCTTGGTTGCTTTGTTCCTTGGGCTGGAGTAAAGTGAATGAAAAAAAAAGGAAAGGGGAAAAAGGAAGGAAAGCATCGTGTCTTTTGTCAACCCGCGAGGAAGACGATTTCCAATTTCCCTGCCTCCGAAAGACGAGTTTCGACGAATCGAGGACGAAATGCTGGATTTGGGGCTCCGGACTGGACTTGACACCGCTCTATTCCTCATTGAGGATTTGTAATACGGCATTGCTTGACTCAGTTGCCTACACAATGGCAGGCGGCAGGTCCTGTGGAGCAGTAACAAAAGTAGAGTAGAGTAGAAGCATGAGCATGAGCATGAGCAACATGAGCAGCATGGACATGGGACACTTTTTTTTTCCTCCCATTGCTAGCCGTTGTAGGGGAAGTGGTTGCGCCTTTGGAGATTGAGTTCACGTGTAGGAATAGGAGAGAAAGACACGATGAACGGGAGAGGTACATAACGGAGGATGTCTGTCGAGAGTGACAGACCGGAAACTTCACGCCCTTGATTGAGAACACGATTTTCGTATTTCTGTTCTCTTCATACTCTTCGTCGTCGTTCGTCGCCATCGTCGTCCGTTGTTGACAGCAATCAGTGCCATCCAGTCAGTGGCTGTTCAATTGAGAAAATCGAGCGTTGGTAGAACAGGTGACCATAGCGTCATCCATCGTGGTAATTACTGCAGCAGACGAGATTCATTATCTCTCCACCTCACCTGAAAAGACCGAGTGGCTGACTTGGAGTTATTGATTAATTCAAAGAGGTCGGACCATCCACCTATCCATCCATCCATCCATCCATCGTCCACCCTCAAAAGCTTCAAAACCCCCCCACCACTTCTACCTATCTATCTAACACTATCTGCTCTATCTCTATCTTTCGGCTTCCAATCTCACTTGCCATCCACCCCCCGGTGTATGGTGATCCTTTCCTGAATTGCGAAGAAATCACATATCCTGGCCCTTAGCGGATAGTAGCACCCGTCCTATTGTTGTTGTTACGCATTAGACACGAACTCTGGCGCAGCGTCTGAAAAAAACTTTATTATATCGGCCTTTTCGTCCCTTGCTCTCCTTGACTTGATCTGCCCCTCAACCCCGCCTTTTTTCTTTTTCCCTTCTCATCTACATACATATTTATCCCCCACGCTTTCCCCGGATTGCTATCTTGAAGGCCATACTTTATTTCGGAGATTCAATACGGAGTCCGGAAAGATAAATTAGGCGGTCAGATAAAGAGACCAGGTAAGATAGAGGAATTCGAAGAGACACAAAGGAAGAGAGATAAAGAGAAGGAGGTCTGCTGTCAACTTCAGTCTTCCCTGCCACTACCTCTGCTATCAGTACTACTATTACTGCACCTCGCCGAGTCGTTTGATCCACCTCTGTGAATATCGCCATATATCCGCCGTCTATCCTCCTCCAATCCGTCACAGTCGCCTCTAGGTTCTGGGTCTGGCTTTTGATATTATCTGCCCTTATATCTTTTCTCCTACCTTGTTGTCATTGACGTCGTTGTCATTGCGCTTGTTGGGCGTTTAACCACTTTTTGGCTGTCGCTACTATTGCTGTTGCTGGTTGCCGATCTGTTTGCACCTGCATTCCCTCACAAGTTTTGTACTTGCTTTTCCCACCTTTCTTATCTTCACCTCGAAAAATCTTCAGAGCCCCATCCTACTTTTCGCGATAACCAGCAACAGTCCAACACTCAAATTTTTTCCCACGTATACACAAATCGCCTATTGAATGCCCAGGAAAACTGCCCAAGCCGGTCCTCGTCCCTCCGCCGTCATAGAACCTCACATGACGGACTCCGATCCACTCCCTCAAGCAGCTTCGAAACCTCAGAAGGTTATCGTTGTGCTCAATGCCACTGGCAGGCAAGCATCTAGCGTAGTTCGAGTTGCATCGGCGGTCGGCTACAAGGTACGCGCTCAGCTTCGATCACTATCTAAAGATCTACAACTTTCGGCAGAGCTGTCTCAGCTTCCTAATGTTACCCTTATCGAGGGTTCTCTGGACGACGCCGAGTTTGTTTCTACATTGTTCGTGGGCGCTCAATATGCCTTCGTAAACACAACCCCATATGCATGGACAGATGAGGTAGCGACCGGAAAGGCGCTAGCACTTGCGGCGCACAAGGCAGGCATCAGGCATTATATTTTCTCGTCTTTAACCGATCATTCTACACATGATGAGCCAATGGCGCCATTGCCCTTGTGGGCAACGAAGTTCACAGTGGAGCAGTACATCCGCCAGCTTGGCATGCCATCAACCTTTGTGTATGTCGGATGTTACCATAACAATTTCTCATCTAGACCGTACCCATTATGGCAATTGACACCGAAACCCGACGGAAGTTTTGTGTGGAAGGCGCCATTCCCACCAGATTACCCCATCCCCTTTATCGATACGGAACACGACCTGGGGGCTGCGGTCATTCAAATTTTGAAGGACGGTGTTAAGAAGTGGGGTGGACAACGGTAAGTGTTTTCTACGAACCTCATCAATTACTTGACATTTTTTTCTAACATTTATCTAGAATCCCGCTAGCCTTTGAGGTCCTTACACCCCTACAGGTTTGCCATCGATTCAGCAAAGGTCTTGGGCGACCAGTAAATTACCAACCCCATCCGCTAGAAATCAGCATTCCCATCCCCATCGGCTACCGCGACCAGCTTGAAGGCATTGTAAATGTCCTCTGTGAGCAACGCGCCCCATACTTTAGGCCGGAAATGGAGGATATGGTTCCATCAATATCAAGGCAGCTATGGCCAGGTTGGAGGGGGATGGAGGAATATGCCAGGGAGGTGTGGCCTATTGAAGAGAGAGCAAACGGAGCACCCTGGATTCAAAGTGGCATTGCCACTCCCATGAGTGAGGGTATCCCGGAGGACTAGTCCTATGTCTGATGAAGATATCTCGTCGGCACCAATGGATAAACAAGATTAATCTCCATGTTTGATGAAACGGGGTTTCTGGAGTGGATGAAATCACGGGGGGAGAAAAAAAAAGTTATGTTTTCTTGTTTATTTGCGATTTGCTTTGGGGGTGTATATCTATTTTCGCTTTGGTCTTTCTCCTCTCTTTCTTGGTCATTCTTGCTTTAGGTTGTGTTTTTAGGTTTTTTTTTTTTTTTTTAGCATTTTGATTGTTCAAGCAATGTCTTGACTATTATATCTGAGCTGGTTCTACGTTTTCTGTACCTATAAGCTTATTTCTTAATGATTCGGAGGAATCAAAGGAAGAAAAAATGGGGCAAAGGGTTGATCTATAATTGGTCACCTGAGAGCAATTGTTACAAAAATTACTGATCAGAACATTCGGAGAGGATTGTGTCATGGTTTATATCTGGACTGCAGGTAGAGTGATAGATTACCTGGGAGATTAATATCAAGTACAGGGGGGCAAAATGCTTCTTTTTTTTTGATCATCACCTGCACACACGTCCCGACTTTGGATTGCAGATCAAGTGCCTACTTACTCCATGTAGATATTTTTAAGTCCAGCGGAAAACATCGTCGCCGGTAGATTCCCATGAACTGGTCTAGATATAGTTGCACCCAACATAACGGAGGGAATCTACCGCAACTGCTCCACCTACCTTCCCCGGATTTTCATAATTGCTTTTTTCCCTTCCATGAGTTCCCTACATACATGATCAAATGTAGATTAGCCGAGTGCGGGGTAAAAGGTACGCCCTTCCTTTCACCGCACCCCCCTATGTATGTCGAGTTCCATCTGGGGGCGAGCAGCCCATGTGCATCTACTGCGATCGATCGGGTGGTTTTCAATTTTATGGTGTGTCCGTTATTCTTGACGCCTAAGTAGGTCTATCTAGCCTGTGCCTGGTTCTGTGGGGATTTCGGCATGTGGGTTCCGATAAATGCTATCTTATTAATTTCGGGTTAGTTAGTTATGGGGGCAATGATTGATTTGTTTACCCTACTTGACCTCCTTATGGTCAACCAATCTATGCACAATGTTTATATATATTAATATTTACACGGCTCAGCTAGCCTGCATTAAATAATTCCTAGAAACACATTAATGATTGAGAGATATCATATAATCGCGGTCCCGCGCAGTAGTTATCTTGGAACTACTGTTGGGTTTTCGGGGCAGAATGTCATTTCTCACTGCTGATTTGCCTCAACCCATGAGCTGTGATCCGGAAAAGAACAAACAGCAGTTGTTATATGGTTACGGCGTCGTTGTTTGACTGGCTGGCTGGGTTACGCGCGTTCCCAATTATTGCGTACGGCTCCCGACGTTTTCCGCATTGTGCCATAAGAGTACTTTGGGATGAACAGCCTTGTTTAACCTTGTTTATCCCTTGTGTTTCCATCGTATGTATGAATTTTTCGGTAATGTGACTGTGAGCTGGCTACCTACATCAGCACAGCTATAAGCTGGCAAGTACCTCCTCGGGGCTGAAGAAGTTTTTGTTTCTGTATCAGCAGAAACGTACGAGTCATAATATAATGCGTGAACTGATTGGGCATCTTATTCTTCTTCTGGCCATGTGATTCAATGATAGATACTCTCCCGGAGATATACAGTATGAGAAATTGGCCGTGGAGCTCAGGGACAGATGGTGTGATGGCCCCTATTTCAATGGAGAAACACTACGTATGTAGGTAGGTCGTTCGGATCTTCTCTCATGCCAACAAAAAAAAAGGTCATATGCCCTGTTAGCTAGGGGTTCTGGTAATTTATGCTGGATGGGCGGCACGGTTGGATTTGGTGCTATTTGTACGAAATCTCTGCTTATCAGCAGTTAGACCTACGTCAAGAGAACAGTCAGCCAAGCTTTCGATGATTTGTCTCAGACCAGGTATCAGGAGAAGAGGTACTTTACGCTACCTAAACAACGGTCTAAACTTTCGATTGGTCTTTCACTCCGGGCTGGATTGAGAGTCCCATGCAGCTTCGGTAGCTTGAACCCATGGGCACGCCGCCCGTCAGGGGATATGTATCAGGAACATAAGGCTGAACCCACACCACCAACACGTCACCAACATGAAGTCTCAGAGCAGCGTGTTATGCTTTTGAAATCGGGTAAGATATGATCCGTGGCTGGGATAGATAACAACTCCTCAGATGTCAAACTCGAGATAAGATAAGACAAGGATTTTATTACATTACTGATCTAAGGCCGGATAAGAAAGCGCCTGCCTATCTTGATAACCTTGAAAGTCAGCAGCCAATAATCTAATCAATTAATTACTATCTGGGCCTTTGACCCCGGAAATAAAACAGGGTCCTGGAAGCACCATATATCACTCGACGTGCTGATCACTTCCTAGGCGATACCATCGGCCTTGTTCGGTTTTATTAATAGCAACCATCAATTGGTCGAGATAAGATAATAGATAATAAGCACATGCCTTTATTGGTGCCGAGCTACATGGGTACAAAAGCATAGTTATGAATAAGCCTATTGGTCAATCGCGAAAGTATGACAGGCTGGGTGTTGAATGGTCCTGTGGCTCTGATATATATAGTGCTGTTTCAACCTTCATGATGTCCTCCACGTCGGCTTCCACAGTCACAGTGGGCTCCGGACTGGTCTGAGGAGAGTCCCGACACGTCTTCCTACAGCATTATCCACACAGTATTCGGAAATTGTTCATAAAAACACAAACAAAATACGAAGGATCTCAAGATGCTGAGCACTGGGCCTTGGATTTTCAAAGAACTACGGGTGAACTAGATATTGAGTCTCAATATCGCCGCTATTTGCTGTAGTTAATTAAACCCAGAATTCATTTCGGCCAATGCCTAACAAAATACAACCTTGTGGGGCCCACAAAACTCACAGTCAGTGAAAAAGAGATCATTCATAATACATATGCTTGAACTGAATAAGACTCTAATTAGATATCGAAATCTAGTCTTGCTCCTAACCCCCACGCCCAGCCATCAAAGATCTAGTTTCTCGGGGCCAGTGCAAGTGCTAACATGCAAGGATTATAATGCAAAGTGACGCAAATAAGGCCTAGCATCCATTCCCAAACAGTCACAAGGGTTGAATACGCCACTTAAAACGGGTTTACCTGGTTAGATAGGACGCCACATCCGACCAGCCGGGTCGAGGGTCCATCACCAAATAGGTATATTTGTACGACAGTCAATATGACAAAACAATACAGACTGACAAATCAACCACTTCCAGATATTCATACTGATTCTAGTTGAACTGCGTTAGTATTCCTTCCCTGAATAACCAATTTTAAGGCCGTGAGAGTTGAAAGGAACGGAATTTAAGAGGATGATGATTCGCCGAAATATCAGTTGGGTCTGGTCCGCAACCAAACTTACAAGTGTACTTATACACACTGAGTCGTGATATATACGCTAAATTTAAATTCGCCATGATGCATGGTGACCTTACTTACATGACTCGATATAGAATGCTCCAGTATAAGATTTTGTCCCTGACTCGTTCACTAAATGGCATGCCACCTGGGCTGACCCAGGAACGTCCCTGAGTGATTGGGCTATTAGCAGTTGATCCGTTTGTCTAGTCGATCGTTGGTAATATAATGTGGTTACTACTAGCTAGAAATTATTAGCTGTACAAAGCGTTATCAATGATTGAATAGCAAATCCCTTCCAGGAGATTTCATCGGAATAGAAAGAGTATTTGCTATAATCTCTTGGTTTAAAGTCATCTCGACACTTAAGGCTAAGGCAGTACAAGCATAAAGCATAGACACAGAAATGAAATTACTTGTATTTTCCTGCCATTGTTGTGTTGTAAACATTGAAATTGCTTTCCAATATAAAATTAGTAACGCAAATGTCCCGCTAAACCCAAGATAACTACTTGTAACTCAATATAAAAAACGAGAATGTACGAAGATAGACCGCTGATAATCATACTCGTTCATAGCAAGGGTAAATACGTAGGTTCATAAGTCATTAGATTAAACGGGGCCTATTCCGCCCACTCAGGATTCCATTCGCCTACGTTTATAGGCATACCACCCTGGGTCTTATTGGTAAGCACCAAAGTAGTACCATGAGAGAACCCAAGCTCTGCCAGCGACAAGTCTTCATCAGACGCCGACAGTAACATAAGGGGCGCTATCTGCTGGAAGTTGTACGGAACTTGAGGATCACCTCGATTCTAACCAGAGCGTTAGTAACTCCACCATCAATTATTCAATCAGGATGTACACACCTTATCCAACCATTTCCTGACATCGGCCAATTTACTCTCACTCGGGAATGTATTCTTCAACATGGTCCCGTTCAATAGTCGAAAAGTCATCAACGTCTCTCCACTCGCCACCGGCTTCTTTTCCTCTTTCTCACGCACTGGAGCCGGTGCCGGCCCATGCACCTTACGCTTCTCCCTCTCCCGGCGCTCTATCTTGTCGTTTTCAACCAACATCAAGATCCGCCGTTTCTCTGCGATCTCATCCTCACGGAGCTTCTTTTGCTCCGCGAGATACTTTTTACGGGCTGGCGTCTCTGCCTCGCGGCGGGCTTTGTCCCGGGCTAGACGTTCGAGCCGCTCTTTTTGCTCTTGGGCATTGCGGGCGCCCTGTTGCGCATCAAGTCGGGCTTTGCGCTCGGCGAAGAGGGCAGCAGGGGTATTGGGGTTGACTGGAGGGGTGGCTGACGGGAAAGCAGCACGGATGGCGGCGGTGAATTGAGACTGGGTGCTGATCGTGTGGGGAATATTTGCGAGAACTTCACCATTTCTGGTGGTTTGTCAATTAAGTAATTAATTGTCGGAACCAAAAGGTTAGGACCTACTTGACGATCGATATGTAGGGCGCCTTTTCCTCTGGACAAAAAGCGCAGAGAACTGCTGCTTCGGGGGACTCTTCTTCAAGGCGTATGATTATTGAGCTCTTTTCGAGTAGGCGGAGGATCTAATAATTGGTGCTATTTTGGTTAGCGCAAGCTACCCTTGTTGTAAAGCACTCGGAACATGCATGCCTCATGGTTCTTAAGGTAGTCATTTTCCCATTTGTTGCTCAGTTCGCCCTCATCTATATTTCATAAGTAACGATAAGTAAGCTATCTGCAGCTATCAAACATATCTGAGTCAGTGTACAAAACGTACCAGTAACAAAGAAAACCAGTGACTTATCTTGCTCCGCAGCTGCCGTGATGGTTTTGCTTACAGGACTGAACCGAAATAACCGAGATAATTGAATAGTCATCTTTGAGATTGAAATTTATGACGGATGTTTTGAAAGAGGGGAAGTTTAGGGTTCCTCGACGTTTAAGTAGATCATGATGACTGTCTGCCTGATCATGAGCTGTTGTGGCTAACGAGGCCCAGCCGGGTAAGGCGCAGCAGCCACAACTCTCATCGAATAAGTGATTAGTCATCAATGCGCATGCAGCAGAAAACCAGTTTTTTAAAAAAAACCATGTTCTTGTCGTCCTGATCGTAAACCCAAATGTCACTTCAACTACCAGCTGAGCTCGCTCGGCCTCCCAAACACTGCTATACATACGCAAATATCAGTTGAGGATCTCATTTAACAACATTGTCTTAACAGTACGTATTCATGAGGCTACTATGATATATTTTCACCGCCAGAAAATACACCGAAAGGTTGGCAGGAATCCGAAGGACATGTGGTTCTTGGTGAGCATGAAAAGGCATTATACGACCCATCCACCTACCCACGTACATACATCGCTAATTCTGAGTACACGAGCCCCCGCCATAAAATCATGAAAACTGCCTTCGAGCCAGGTATAAAAACAACATAATATAATGGTTTGAGTTAACATGTTCCTTGAGCTAGTTTACCACTGGTGAGAAGATTATAGTTAATTGGCATTAACACTATTACAGTACTAGTACCATGACCTGCTTACACCGATGGCGGTTCGGTTTCCGAATCCGATGCGGGGTATCAACCCCTCAAGGCTTTTGATGTAAAAGACACCAGTATAGTTTCCCGATTCTTTTTGTACGTACACGACTTCCAACAGTACTGACGATCTGCATGTCTTCCGTGGATGAGTGACATCCCATGACTGAGGCAATCACTACGTCTTGGCATAGAACCGTAGCTATTTCCGCGCTATTAAGACTACTTTATCCGGTGTCATTCAAAATTCTCAGGGCCTATATATAAAATTACTAGTAAAAAATGATGCTTTCATTTAATACAGTATAGTCGTCACAGAGCAATAAAACTTGGATTAAAGAGCTGCTGCTTTGTTGTATATATATACAGGGATAAAGGTTCTACCTTCTCGAAACTCAAGTAAGAAAAAAATGAAGGCCTCAATTGTTTTCTTCACCATCGCAAGTATTGCGCTCGCCGCACCCCTCCCTCAATATGAGGGCCTCGGCGAAGAACCATTGTACGAATACTTTGGCGGAGTTCCCAACTACAGTCCCTACCCCTACCAGCCGTACGAACAGTATGGTCAGGCACAATACCCTCCGTATAATCCAATGGAAGAGGCGCCACCGCCTCAGCTTCTAGCCCCTCCAGCCCCAGGACCTCTTGACCGTCCTAGTGATCACGATGAGTCGGCTGGCGTGCCTCTCTCAGCTCATCAAATTCCTAAGCCAAGGCTTCCCAAGCCGCCCGGTGCTGGGCGGAGACTGCTCACGAAGCCGGTGTCTGAGAAACCTCAAGACAAGAGCTCTCTCGCCGAGAAGCTTTCCAACGACTTTGAATTCGTTGAGCCAGCCCCTACCTACGCTGATGGTCCAGTTTCAGCTGCCGCTCCAGTGCCAAGCACTGGAAGACCTACCATCACTGAAGATAGGACAGATGACAACGAAGCTGTTCGCTATCACGTTAACGTTGGTGGTGTGCAGAAGGGGGGTAACGGTGGCACTACCAACTTCCACGTCTTCTCAGATGAAAACGGAGATAAGATGTTCTCGAATGAGATGGATGAGGAGACTGAGCGGTACATTACCGAGAACATGATCCCCAAGCTTGGTGGAAAGAGAAAGGGGAAGTCCACACCAGGAGTTTGGAGTGTCTTTGGAGACAACTAGAGGTACTATTTTTACTCTCATACTTCCTGACCCTCCCCGCCCCCCTTCTGGGATATCATTAACCAAGGGCTAGTAGAACGGGAATCGAATCGGGCTCATAACAGGAGACTAGAGTATTGAGATCCCTAGCTTATAGTTTGAGCCGTCATCTTTTAAAATTGAGGGGAAACTCTTGAAGTTTTCGTTTGGTATACATGGGACTTAGAGATTCGCTCTAGTTGTTTATAAACACAGGTAGATCTAGCTGGTTCTTTATTGCGCAATTATTATACTAAAAATAAACTTCGAGTTGGACTCCTCGGTTTTGATACCCTTGTGATGTGCCCGCACACAACCTTTTGAGTTGCAGGGGAGCGTGAATTCTTCTAACTTAAAATCTGCACTGTGATCGATACCTATTAGACTTAGTTCCATTATGCCTTGAATTATAGCTCAACTTGATGTCAATTGAGAGCTAATAATTCTAGCCGAGGGATGAAATTGGTGATGGTTTATAATTATACTTACGGTTGTAGTTAGGGCCAGAAAACCCAACCCTCGGCCACTATGCCCAAACGAGAAATATTATCCAAACATTACCATTGTATCGGGGTTTTGATAAGAATAGCTATCCCAGCTAAAAGAACATTACGTATATATACCATGGACATCGTGAGGCGAAATATTCCCGCGGAATACGACCCCAAATCCTGATTCCTCAACCTCTCCTTCGCCTTCGATAAAGAACAATATCGAGGCCCCGGAGAAAATGTGCGAGCCATGATTAGTCAACAGCAGAATATCAGCAATTGTCTATAAAGAACCGGCCACATCTCCAAACTGATTCCTGAACCTACTACCATCGGCATACCCTTACCCATTCTTTTAAGTTCAATAGACACTCTTTTCAGAATGATATACTCCACTGTCTTTCTCTCGGCCATGTTGGCTGCGGTAGTTGCTGCTGCGTAAGTTCGATCCCCAGTTATCTCCAACCTCAAAACCAATGACCTTAGACTGACAAGATATCTTTAGTCCTGGCATTGACCCGCTGCAATACCGCAACTCCGAGTACTACAAGCCAGAGCACTACAAGCCGGAGTACAGGCCGGAGTACAAGCCCCAGGAATACTACAAGCCTCACGACTATTACAAGAACTACTACCCCAACTCCAACAGCTACCAGAACTACTACCCTTACATCAAGCCCAACTTTGTAAACGCCTATGAGAAGCAGCAAGCCTACGACTCAAACGCTCAGGCCTATGAGAACGGAAATGAGAACGCCAACGCCATGGAGTCTCTTGCCGGTGCAAAGTCTGAGAACGCCAACGAGAACGCCAATCTCGCAAAGGGAGGAGAGGCATTCGGTTTCGGTGCTCTGGAGTCCGACAACCGTAACTTGCTCGCCAACGAGAACAACATTGAGGTTGCCAACGCCAACAAGAACGAGCTTGGTGTGGAGGTTGCCAACTTTAACGCCAATGACAACACTGCCCAGCAGGAGTCTGCGGCATTGGCTGAGGTCCAGAGCGAGGATTTGGCTTTCTTTGAGGATGTGATTGAGAATGAGACCGACAACCTCAACGCCAACGAGAATGTTAATGACAACATTGACCGCAACAACAACAGAGGACGCCCCTGCGCTCGTCCATCTTGCCCTACCTCCTGCAACAGCTGCGGCCGTTAAGCGGTAGTAGTTATTGTGGATATCATGACGCTAGAACACTTTCGTTGATGTTGCTTTGATTTCGTTAAGGCAGATGTTTGACCCTGTCTTTTTGCGAGGTGGAGGGATGCCCGAAGATATAGACGAGCGAATACGTTATAGATTTTGTATTTATATGGATAGATATTCTGAAGTACATACCTGCAACATGAAAAACTTATGTTTATACTCTTAGTGGAGAGAGGAATGTTAGTGTAGCCATGCTTACAGCTGATATTGCGAAGCAACGCTATGATCGAATATATACCCTCAGACCCGCAAGAAAACATTCCCGCCGCAAATAGATAAGTTCTGGATGTGAATAGATGAAATTTTGGGTCTGTAGTTTCCATTGTGGGAATTGGTGACCTTTTGAGTCCCAAGAGTAAAATCATGGGATGGCTGTCATAGCAATCGGCATCAGTAGTTCGAAATCTTCTATAAAATAGCTATTTTTGTCTCGTTAATATGCGTATGTATGTATAAACTTCGTAATTGACGGCGTTGGAAGTAAGGTGGGACGATAGACTGAATCATGAAAGATCACTCGTTATTCTGAATCACCTTGATCGGGATGCGCCTGCATGATTCCAAGCCACTGCCGAACAACCATGCATCTGATTCAGGCAACCAACAAAACTCATTAATATCATTTACCATGATCATAACCTCTCAAACCCTGTTGGTGCTGATTCCTACGATAGCCTGAGCACGCATTGCAATATTAAGCTATGGGGCCGAAAAACCGCAAACCCCGCGCCAAAGCTCCTGTTACTGATACTACTGTTACTGCCGCTGCGTCTGATACTACTACTATTGCTACTACTGCGCCTAATGCTGCTACTAACGCCGACACTAATGCTATTACGGACGCGGGTACGGGTGAGGGTGTGAGTACGGGTGTGAGTACGCGTGCGGGTGCCAATGCTTCAAATCGAGGACCTAAAGCAAAGGCAAAGCCCAAGGCCGGTCAGTACCATCATATCATACCCCGGTTCATCCTCCGAAAATTCATTATTGAAGGACAGTAAGGATCCCATCTCCTTTCTGTAAACCTAAACATTGAAAAGAAAAGGCTTGCTGAAACATCCAATAGCAAAAATCCTGAGGCCAACAGACGGGGGAAAAGTGCTGCCCCCGGGCTCACCGACCCCATCAACTGCTATCATGTTTCCAGTGGCACCTTCTCGATCTCCTCTCTCAACAATAGCTATGGTGTCACAGACCTCTACATCAATATCAAGAATCCTGATAACGCTTACGAGGTCGAAAAGAAACTCTCTGTTCTCGAATCCCATGCCGCACAAGCAATTGGTCTTCTTCTCAAGACTGTTGAGTCTCGTCCGCCTGGAGACTTTCCCTCGGAGGAGCCGCAATACTTTAGAATAAAGCGTAAATTCCTCAACTACCTAAGGAAGTTCATGTTTATCATGTACTTCCGTAATGATGGGTTCGGGGCCCAACATTTCAACGAACATCATCCGGACAATTCAGGCGGGGCCGCGTGGATCCGCGCATTCAGACAAAAGAATAATCTCGAGCCTTCGGAAATGTGGCTGCATGTGCTTGAGCACTACCTCGATACCCCGCACGTCGAGCTGGTTAAACAGGGCCAGAAAGCCAACGATCAGCTTGACTCCGGCGGCCGGGCTGGTTCTCGCCGCGGTATTGACCCTAATATTCAAGATGCGGAGATGATCCAGTACTGGGGTGAAGCAAACAATTTTTTTCTTGCGGTCTGGGAAGCCGCTGACTGCGAAGAATTTATCATCAGCAATAATTCGTTCGGACTATGGGAGTCGGTGAGCTTGGGGGATAAAATGTACCAGCTTCACCGATTCTATGTCATTTCCCCCAGAATTGCAATTGTTCTATGTTTTGTTCGGCTACGTCCAGACATACCACCAATACCAGAGTTTGAATTGATGTATAGAGAGAGTATATTTTGGGGTGCGCCGCATAGGAGCCCAAGGGTTTCTAAGGATGGCCAGATTGTGGGACGCGAGGTGGGGGTGGCAGGAAGTTATGAGGAGGATATCATGGAATATGAGATTGTGAAGCTCTCAACAGAGTTCACACATCGTGTCAATGCAGTAATCATGGGGAATGCTAGAATAGACACTGGAACAATCACTTTCCGTACCCCGGCAGCGATGCTGAGGACGCTAGAAGCTTACTCCAGGAATATGGGTTATGATAACCAGAAATTATACGAACCATTGGTTGAGCAACTCCTTAAGATGACCGGGGCGAGCAGTTCGACTTTCAGGGTCATTCCAAACCCCAACCCCACGAGTCGCACGCACGCTTTGAAACCACCTAAGGCAGGCTTGCCCAGCTTTTGGGAGATAAACTTAGAAATGCTGGACAGAATGGAGGAAGATAAAAACGACGAAATTTCGGCAATTTTCAAGACACCCCTGAAGAGACTGATTGAGCAGATTGCGCTCAAGATTTCGCGGACTCCGTATGATATCAACCCAAAACCTGCGCGCCTGAGAAGGAATATTTCGGATGAGAGTTGCGTCAATATCTTTGCAATGGTGAAGGGATTCATAAAATTTCTGGGTTTGGGAATGTCCCCGCTGTTTCCTGAATGTACGATGATCGCAGTTTTGAGGTGGTTGCTGGCAGAGAGGAGAAATATGTTCGAGATATTGGAGAGGAAGTTCTCGTTGATGATGATGGAGTGGGTTTATGATGTGGGTATTTATTTTTCCCTATCCGGTGACATCTGACATCTGATTGCTGATTTGATATAAATCTGAGTAGGAGCCGGATAGAGAGAAAAGGGAGGAGGAGTATAGGATTCAAAGGGCCAAGATGTTTCAGAAGGATTGATATTCCCCCCATCCGGACTTTAAAGAGTCTGTTCCATTTGTTTGAAGTCTGCCTGAATCTCCACAATATTCCTATTCTGAAGAATCAATCCCTCATTATCTCGCGTGATACAATGAGAGAACAGGCACCACGTTTAAGATATTTGATTTAGTAGGTGATTCCACAGTAGTTAATGAACCCTCAATTGAAGAGCTGAAAAAAAAGAAAAAAACTGGCTTGGTAGCTATCGAGAAGACAAGTTCCGACTCGGACGGAAAGAATTGTCATAATACCCAGTTCTACAGCCATAGCCCGAAAAATAGACGGCTACAATATTGGCGTACACGTACCACCAGCCATAGGCGTGAGGCCGGCGCAGATCTTTAGAAACTAGAACAGCCGCTGGCTGGGGCGGTGACCATACACTTAGAATAATTCTATACCCGGCCCAAAACCACGGGTACTACAGCAGACCTAGCTAGACCACATGAGTTCTCATATAATATCCCGGCTGGCCCATCAATATTCAGATATATATATATATATATATGAAAGCCAAGGATTTTGGTTTAAGGACTCGTAGCTTTTGATCCGTTCTCTACGACCTACTAATGCACTCGAGTGCAGTGGTTGTGATGTACTGAGGTGGTTGGAGGAAGTATAAGTCCACAGAATTGAAATGGTCCGCCTAGAACTAGCACTGGACTCGACCAAACCGATCCAATATCGTGGGGAGAATAGAGCAGGTTGAATAGAAGGTCTAGCTGTTTTAGGTAAAGATTTGCAATCGTTCAACCAATAACATGTCAGCAGGGTCCTTTGTCGAAGTGCTTCAACTCGCACAATGCAGTAGCTGTAACTGGTCGATGGGGTAATTGTGGGAAGTAATTATTACTTCTAGCCTTAGTACTGGTAACCGTTATTTCAAGTAGATTCATGCTCATGATGTGAATCATATCCAGCGAGAACCCTTCGATGGGAGTAGAGCACATAACCCAAAGCCAAGGATCGAAGAATTCCTATGATCATGACACAGATTAACGAGCTAAGAGTCTACAACCAGTAAATACCAAGCAGTGACATACCTATCCAATACCGCAAACCCGCGTACTCGTAGCTTCATAGCGTTTCCGAACACGACCAATATTTCATGACATACAAAAAGGTGGATTTGGCGCTTTTTTGTATGGTATGCAATAGCAGTCGTGTCCGGAAACGTCATGAATTTACGAGTAGATGCGCAGGTTTCTCCTGTTAAAAATATTCTGAGACTATCTAATAGCTAGCTCAACTGCGAGAGCTAAACCACCGAATTTCTTGCAGGTCGGTCCGCGACACAAGTTTAAGCCTTTACCCGGTCCCCCGCTCGCTGGCAAGCTCAATTCATGAAAAGGTACAGAACGGAAACGAGAATCCAGGTATCTCTGCGCTGAAGAATTTTGATCTGGCCGGTGGTTGTGGAGTTTGATACCGATTGGGCACCCACAAGCAGGTGAGACATAGAGGCACAGATCCCCAATCTGGATCTAGTGGCTGGGCATAATTGTACCGGGTGTTCACCATTAGTCTCAAGAACTCGGATTGATTGGTTGAGGTGACAGGGGTATTTGTATGGGTAGGTACGGGTGAGTGGCTGTGGCGAGGTGTGGCAGCCAATGACAACAAGCCCATGTCTCAAAAATTGTATGAGGGAAAAAAGTCTCGAGAAGAGTGTATAGATTGTTTCCCTGGCCACCCGAACACCTCCCTCACCCGAACAACAGTTGAATATCATTTTTTGAAGTTGACTGTTCAGGTGAGGGGGTTGTTCGGGTGGCCAGGGAAGCTGTCTATAGTTCATTAATATTAATAAGGTGTAGCATGCCCGCCAGCAGCAATAACTGCTTCCAGTCTTCGAGGCATACTTCTGATCAACCTGTCTAGTCTATCTACAGGAATAGAATTCCAGGCATTTCTTATCATAATCTTTAGCACTTCTATATCATTGACACGTCCTATAGCCTCTCCTAGTTCCGTTTCTATTTCTCCCCATAAAGCTTCAATGAGATTGAGATCCGGTGATTGTGGTGGCCAGGGAACTGACTCCACCTCATTGACCTCTCTGCATTGATTGGCGACACCCTTATGACCTGGAGCATTATCCTCGACCACCTGTGTCCACCCATAAGCTTCACAAGTCTCGTGCCAGAATGGTATGAGATGTGGATCTAGTATGTGATCCACATATGTCTGGGATTTGATGGTAACCCCAGCGGGAGTAAACACTAGTTCACTTTTCATCTCCCCGCAGAATGCCCCCCAAATCATGGTGCTCTTCCTCCCTGATTCCCACGTCTCGTCAATGCAGTCCGGGTGATATTCCTCCTCCGGTGTTCTAAGAACCCATGGACGATGTCCAAAGCCAGAGGTGTTGAATATAGATTCATCTGTCCAGACAGTACGAAACCAGTCATCATAGGTCCAGTGTAGTCTAGCCTGACACCACTCCACCCGCTTGATTAGATTTTGTGGCCGGATTCCCCACTTCTTACGGGGAAGTCTTTTATGATAACCCATGGACGCCAAAGTATTTCGTAGTGTTCTGACAGAACATGCATAACCCATTTCCTCGATAATAGACAGAAATGGCAGTCTTCTTGTCCTTTTATCTCTTGTTATAAACTCCCGTAGCCTCTCCTTTTCTTCTGCATTGAAAACAGGCGGCCTCCCTTGTCTCCTTATATTGCTAGGTGTTCCATTTGCCTGCTCGTAGTAGTACTATTATCAGCATACTGCTAGTGCCGGTGGCGGGCAGCTTGCCAGTGGATACGAGAATTTGAACCTACCCGTGCACTCCTAAAGATACCTTGACAGGTACGATAGTCTATCTCTACCTGACGACCTATTTCTTTCCAGGTCATCCCTGACTCCCTCAGAGCGATTATCTTTACCCGTTCATCTCTAGTGGTCTCCCTGTTCCGGGTTCGATCACCAAAGTGATCTCTTCTTGTTCCCTTTTGCTTCATAGCTTACGCTAACAGCTGGCTTCAAAGGTCGAAAGCGCGTCAAAGGGGTCGAATGAGCTTCAATGGTGCTCCAGCAGGTGTCAATGGAGGTCGAACGGCCTTGAAGGAGCTTGAACGGGTGTCTAGGGAGGTCGAACGGGTGTCTAGGGAGGTCGAATGGGCCTTGAAAGGGTGGAACGGGTGTCCAGGGAGGTCGAACGGGTGTCCAGGGAGGTCGAACGGGTGTCTAGGGAGGTCGAACGGGTGTCTAGGGAGGTCGAATGGGCCTTGAAAGGGTGGAACGGGTGTCCAGGGAGGTCGAACGGGTGTCTAGGGAGGTCGAACGGGTGTCCAGGGAGGTCAAATGGGTGTCTAGGGAGGTCGAATGGGCCTTGAAAGGGTCGAACGGGTGTCCAGGGAGGTCGAACGGGTGCCAAAGGAGGTCGAACGGGTGTCAAGGGGGTGTGAATAGCTTCACGGCTTCACCAATTGACGTGGCAGTGGCGGTGCTCTTCTTGGCCGGTGTCAGCCAATCACGACAATCAACCTATCAAAACGGGTTCTTGAGACTAACCCATAACCCCCGGTACTCCTCGGGATGAAACATTCAGTAGGAGTAAACAAAAGCAAAAAATGGTATGTACGAGCTGGACATGACCTTGATTGGGCTGCGGTTAACGGTTGACTACACATGGCTGCAGCCTCCCTTTAAAGTAAGAAACGGCAACGACAGCCTGTTCGACGCTCGTCCCCATGGCCATATCTAGTAGGAAGAGAAAATTAGTTAAATATAGCTGCCGTCGCAGGCAAAAGCGGAGTTAGACTCTAAGCTCCATTGTAGAATTTTTGAGAGTAATACTTGTAATAATTATATCCCGTTTTTGAGCATAATAATGTGATTGGTATATGAGGATATTGGGAAACGTCGCACGTTGAGTAATACAGTAGAATACGGTTCAGCTGACTAGACTACCGTGTTTCAAGACTCGATTGGCGCGGAAAAGCTGTCGCGAGGAAAGGTTCGGGAGAGCGTGCATAGAGTAAATAGGTTTTGTGGTCATACTGGATGTTCAGAGTACGTACAATAAACAGATATACTCCATATATATTCGTGGCACAGTGGCTGAGTTTGAGAACACGGGAAGTGCTGTGGAGGACACTCTGGATAACACACTGGAAAAAGCATATAGGACACGATAAATGCCATGTACGATAAATGCCATGTGTTAAGAGTTTAAACATCGGTCCAGTGTATACGTAATCAAGAGCTGTCAGAGTAGCACTTGACCACACTTGATCTTAGGATTGCGCATGAATTTCAGTCATCACGACATCTAACAATGTCCTCTGCACCAGCCCTAAGATTTTCTCCGCCAATTGTGTTTGGTTTCGACATCCATGCCCCTATATACGCGATATTTATATCAGCGTGACCGCAGGAAAGGAACATCCCTTCGAGTCCTTAATTGCTTCCGTGCCCGCCCGCAATCCAATATAATAATGCGCCTTATCTATCGTATTCACCCCACGCCGGTCGCGGGCACCAAATTCAATTGAGTATGTAGAGTCCTAGCTCGAGACTGGCTCTTTTGTAGTTGGTATGGAGTGTTAGCTACTAGCTTTCTCTGATGGGAGAAGCTCTCTGCTTCATCATGATCTTTCACTCGTCCGATTCATTCTAGTTCTTCGATTCTGTTTCGAGAATTAGTGCACGTACCTCAACACCGTGGTCGCAATGTCTCGGTACCCCAGCTCTGCATTCGGAAGGCTCCCCACCAACAAATTCCTTTGTTCGAGAGATTTATGCAATCCATGTTATCCAATACCAATGAACAGTAAGTAAGTACACACTTTACGGTTGATAAGAGAACGTTCAAGTAGGGATATCTACATGAATACTTTTAGGTATGGCATGTGTACCCGACTTTACTTACATTGGCCGACGCTCTGGAGATAGATGCGAGAACTAGTCCCCACGCGGCACGGCAACCCCAAAACCATCTGTATGTAGAGCAGATGCACTTCCCAATTCCACACACAGCATTCGACGAATTATCAGCTCTGTATGATGAGCTGTCACGCACATTTGCCTTTTTCCAGGCCAATTACCATTCCCGGGCCTTTGTGTGCCGTATCTGGGATGGACCCGAAAATGAACCCCTGAGCACGAGATCCATGGCCCAACCATGCACTTGGTAAAATGGGTGAGCGCTACACACATACTATCTCGACTGCGTGTGTGTGTGTGTGTGTGTGTGTGTGAATACAAAGAAAGAAATATCTCAACTCGTTCTCGGCTTTTTACTCCTGGATTCTGAAGATAAGATAAACACCCTTTCTGTCGTTTTATATAAGACAGCTCCCAGGGCTCCACCCCTCTTGCTGAGGTCATTTCTGTTTGATCTTCCCGTCGTTCGTCGTTTGGAGCCCTTATATACCGTTTAATTTTCCACACGATTTAGTTTCCCTTTTATACATAGTCCTTTATTCATAATGGTATTTACTCTCATCAGTCATCAATTGTCTTAATACCACAAGCTAATAATATTCCTCAGTCACAGATATATTCAATCCTCTCATTCCCCAATGAGCTTCTCCTTCTTATCGCCTCCAACCTCCCTGTCAAAGACCTAAACTCCTTCCTTCGCACCTCACACCGTCTCAATGCCCTCCTCACACCCACCCTGCACCGTCTCGCCGTACAGGATCGCGGCTCTGACTGGTGGTCCCCCTTCCCAGCCCTTCACTGGGCTGTCTGGAAGGGACATGTAGGCCTCACCAAGCTTCTCATTGCAAAAGGCTTTGACGTCAACCTCCGCAGCACCTTCGGCGGAAAGACGGCCCTCCACTTTGCAGCGCTCATGGGGAACCCGGAGATTGTAGAACTGCTGTTAGACGCCGGAGCAGACATTGATATAAAGGATGTCGAGCCCGGTGTTACTGCACTACATGTCGCGGCGCTGCAAGGTCATGAGGAGGTGGTCAAGATGTTGATCAAGCGCGGCGCAGATGTGAGTGTTAGTGACCCCATAGGAAGGACGCCTCTAGTCTGGGTCGCGAGATATGCCGGTGTTGGCAAAGCTGTCGAAGGCGTGTTCAAGACGCTGGTCGAGAGCGGCGCGGACGTTGACGCGGGCGAGAGGGAGTGCGGAAGGACATGCTTACACTGGGCTGTCGAGAAGGGGTGGAAGAGCGTGGTGAAGATGCTAGTGGACGGAGGCGCCAGCCTCACGGTCATGAATGGGAAAAAGGAAACTGCAATCGATTGGGCGCTGAGGAATGGGGATAATGAGATGGTGAGACTATTACTCGAGGGCGTAAGGGAGAGGGAGAGCTCATTGGGCATGGTGGGCAAGAGGCCGCTGGCTATCGCTGTTTGATGACTGTTTCCCCCGCGGCGTTCAAAAGGGCATGGAGTTTTGTTTTTTATTTTGCTATATTTTTTCTCCTTTCCCTCGCTTGCTATCCTTATGCCTTGGATGCCTCATGTACGATATCTAGTGGATAATGATAATCATTGGTCGGCCATCTACCATGCTCATCTCCCTGCGTTTCGATTCGATCTGGGGACATTATTGGTACGGTACCGGGAACGGTACCATCTCGGTTAAAGAAAGATACCTATAGTTCTAGGCCATAAATCATGGGAAGGCGCGGCGTAGCAACCTCCCGGGCCACCACGACTACCCACCCAGCAACCGCAATTGATCCTTTGGAGAGCTGGTTTTTTATAGTTGTTAAATAGTAGCTAAATAAAAATAATTTGACATTTAATATTTTGTGTACCAACCCCTTGCCTTTATAACAGCTCTATTCTCCTAGGCATGCTCTCAACTAGCTACCAAATAAATCATCAGGTAACAGTTCCCAGCAATGAATTAGACCTTCCTCCACGAGGGGCTTTAATACTTAAGGTGATCTAGTACCATATGCTAAATGGGGGTACTGTTGATGGTAAAGCTTCTTGAGGTGTACCTAAACATGTTCAATGGGATGGAATAGGCAAGCCAGTCCTCCAGAACATCTACCCTATTCTCCTCCAACCAGAGCTATAAGACTGCGGTTTTTTGCCACAGCAGGGAGGCTGGTCATTCCCTCCTAGCTGTCTGGCGGGGTACATGGTCTCTGGGCGCCATCGGTGGTGGTGAAAGATTTTGTGTTCAGGCGTTGCGACCTCGCGCTTTACATACATTCGCAAAAAAAAACCAGCCAATGAACAGTCGACCAGTACATACTCACCTCTACATACATCCGCGGCTGTGGCTGTGGCTGCGGTCTTTCCCTTCTTGGGGCGGTGCCAACCTGCAGGCCGAGTGATGGCGGGTGATTAAGCGAGTGGACGGCGCGGTTAATAGTTTTCTGTCGCGCTTTCTTTTTTCCGTTCAGCCTTTGGCTTGTAGCTGGGCATGGGGTAAAAACTAAAGTAGAGTAAAAGTCTTTCTTTATACGGCCCAATCGGATGGGACGAAAGAGGGAAAAGGGGGGGGGGGGGGTGGGGTGATTGGTTATGTGAGGATTTGGTTTATTGGCTGTTTAGTTATTAACGATATTGGTTAATTAATATAATTAGATATGTACATAAAAGTGCCGCGGTACCGTACGCGTGACGTTTAGTACTGTGGGTGCATGTACATACATGTATGTGCGCGGGAGTGGTGTTTCCGGCTGGCTTTGGGCTTTTACTTGCAATTGCGTACTAATGGGGGCCTGGCGGTGTTTTCAGATATCGGTTTTTGTTGGATTGTTCAGATGAATGTACATACATATGTATATGTGAGTGCTGGTGTAGAGTATTGAAAGTATACACATGTACTGCTAATTTAAAATTCAAAAATCCCACCATTGAAGAGGTTCATCCGATATCTATCTATCTACGCATATACGTCTACGTCTACGAACACATGTATGTACAATATTATGCCCGTGCACTGCTCTGCAGCTTCCAATTTCTTCCTATGTATGTATGCAGGCCTCTATAGGCCCGCGGGAATACTCGGAGAGTTCAGTAATTTAATTATTTTTATTTATATTTATATTTTTCCCCCCGATCGCGAGAGCCAATTGCAAGGAAGGAAGGAAGGAAGGGAGGGAGGGAGGGTGTGCTACATAATCGTGGAAAATCGTAATACATAAATCTGAGAGTATAGTACGGGGTGTAAGCGCATGTATCTCTAGAGTAGAGAGCTCTACTGTAGCCCATCATCATCATAGATAGATGTACGGCTATAACCAGTAGGCAGTAAGTAGGCAGTTATAAAGTTGATGACTTGAAATCGGCCGCCCGCGATATCAACACCCCATTACCAAGGGCCCCCCCCCCCCCGCCCCCGTATCCAAAAAACGCCAAAACCCCCAGATCTCAGAGCAAGCCAGGCCAAGAAGACTGTCCTATCCCCCTCCCGCCGCTATGCCCTCAACCTCCTAATCCACCCGCCAATGCCACTCCCCCTCCTCCCCTTCGCCCGCTCCCGCTCCCGCTGATACACCCACCTCCCCAGCAGCGCCACCATCTCCCCATCCCCCACTCGACCGCCCACCCCACCGGCGTCCGTAGCTCATAGAACGTCGGCGCCACCACGCTCGCGCCCCGCTCTAGTAGCCACCGCACCGTCTCCCGCCGACCCTTCACAACCGCCCAGTGCAGCACCGACGCGCCGTACTCCAGATCACACGCATTGACATTGACGCTCGCGCCGCCGGCCACCAGCGCATGCAGCACGTCCACCAGCTCCGCCCCGCGCGGCGCCGACCGCGCGCCCCAGAGGAGTGCGGTGCGGCCTTTGTAGTCCTCGATGGCGGCGTCGGCGCCGCGCTTGAGTAGTAGGCGCACGAGCGGGGCGTTGCCGGAGGAGACGGCGAGGTGCAGCGCGGGCTTGCCGTGGGTGATTTCGGAGGGGGTGTTTATTGATGCGCCGTGGTCGAGGAGGGCGCGGACGGCGGGGAGGTGGCCGGCGAGGGTGGCGTAGTAGAGGGGCGTTTTGCCGTGGAAGAGGGTGGCGCGGGAGTTGGGGTCTGTGCTGGGGGTGGTGGTGGTGGTGGTGAGGAGGGTGGTGAGGGTTGTGGTGTCGCCTTTGAGGGCGGCGAGGTGCAGCGGGGGGAGGTGGGAGAGGGGTGGTGCGGGGGGGGGACTTGTTGCGGGGTGAGGAGGGAGAGGAGGTGGCGGTGCGCGTGGGTGAGGGAGGAGAGGGAGTGCGGGTCTAGGTGGGTGCTGATTAGGAGGAGGAGAGGGCCTGGGAGGGAGAGCAGGGAGGTGGAGGTGGAGGTCGGGGCGAGGAACTCGGGCGGGAGTTTGGAGGCGGGAGGACGAGATGGCGGTGAGGCCGGCGGCGAGGGTAGGCGCTGTGAGAGGTTGTAGGATGCGGCTGCTTTCAGTGTTTCGCCGAATGGATATGGCGGTAGTTTTGTTCTGCCCATGGTGTGCCGTATGATATGGTTTCTGTCTGTAGTCTCTGGGCAGCGCAGTACTGCCCGTCCGTGTATAGTATGTAGAGGGACAATGGGAAGGGGAAGGAAGGGACTCAATTCGAACCCAGGCCACTGGGTACTGGAGGGTGCCCACCTACTCTAAGTACTCTAAATTGCTTTCCGTCAACCCACGATAAGTATTGATAATTGGCTATTTAGACTGTGGCGGAGAATGCATGGCTGTAGGTGAGTGAGGCTGGTGACGGCGCTCCTTGTAATCCTCAGACAGCTGTACTGTCTGTCTGTCTATATATAGCTATAGCCCCATTAGCTAGAGATCTAGAAGAGAACAAGCTCCAGAAGAAAAAAACTAAGAACCGCCCTATCTATCTAAAATTAGAACCTCCAACGACTAACCTGTTTACGGTTTATAACCTAGCCTGTAGTCTGGTCTGTAGTCTAGAATAAACCAACCCCAGGCAGGCCCAGTGGGAACTTGTTTTTCTGTACGAATAGCGTTGTTTTTTAAAAAATCGCGTTTCAAAAAGTGCTATTTTGCTTGATTCGCAAATATTATCCCGATGCTGCTGCTTCATGACGTGGTACGGTTTTACTACTCTACGTCCGGGGAGAGCTGCAGCATCATGACTCGAATCGACATCACATGATCTTCCTGATCCCGAGTCATCAAAAAATATATAGATAAAACGCGAATACCAGTGAGCGAGGAGAACCAATCTGTGCGGACGGCAAAAAACATATTTTTAGACTCATGATGGTGGTGGTTGCTAGACAGCGATAGCCCGTAAAGATAGCTGTGACGACGATGTCAACCGTATGATACGAGCGAGTTTCAAAATAGCAATTGCGACTCGCCCGTAGAGCACAGAGAATGACGAGCCTTTTTGTATATACATTGAGTATGTACTTCCATTGACATCGACTCGGGGGAGGAGTTCCATTATTATAAAAGCTTTGTTAATTAGTACCCGCGGCCGCGGTAAACGGGGGGCGAAAAGGGCGAAACAAAAAAAAAAAGGGCTCCATGATCGATGAATAGAGTTCTAGCTAGCTGGAACCAATCGCCTCCCCCCTTCCTCCCCGCCGCCGCCGCGCCGTCTCAGCCCAAGAAAGGGTCCTCTTTGTGGCATGACAGGTTGGTGGTGCACTGGAACTGGAGACGAGGGTAAAGAATCGCAGCCCTGAATCCTGATTGCTCTATACGTACGGCTGAGTGAGGCCCACAAAAAAACCAATAGCCCGGTCCCGCCCATCACGCACGGCTTTCGAATATATTCCCAAGCAAGTGAGTGAGCCTCGCATCTTATGTACCCCTCCCTCCCTCCCTCCTCATCGCCTTACTCCAGAGCAGAGTGCTAGGGCGGCATCTCACTTACTGTAGAGTATTACTCACGAAGGGAGCCTTATCGTCGGATTGGCCGGCGGGGGGGGGGGCTCCTTCTTTAGTACCTACCTAGCTATGCCATCTGGTCAAGTTCTGCGTCAGAAGCTTAAGAGATCATGGCGAATAGCTATAGCTACCTATGTTGCTGAGATGGGACGAAGAGTCGATGTGCATGATGCCAGCCAGCCAGCCAGCCAGACATCTAGCCCCCCCCCAGTCCCAGTCCCAGTGCACTGTCTTGTGTCTTGTGTCTTGTATCTCCTCCCAAGCGTTGGTTGCTCCGACGCACCGGGACCGGGACTACTCTAGCTGGGACAACAAAACAGAAACCGAGTTATTACCCATGACGCAATCCAGACCGACCCACAACATCCCCGTCCCGTCCCGTCTCGTCTCGTCTCGTCTCGTCTCGTCTGATCCCAAAATATTGCAACCACGTGCTCGAGTCCCCTTCCCTTCCCTTCCCTCCCCTTCCTGGGGCTTTCGTCCGTTAGAGATAGAGCAAGCAAGCAGGTAAGTAATCAACGTACCAGCCAACATCCACCCATCCACCCATCCACCCATCCACCCATCCACCCTCCACCACACAGCCCGAAACCAATCCTGCCGGACGGTACCGCGGCCCCGGGTCTTGCTGCATCGATCTGAGCCAGCTGCATGTCTTGATTGCATGTGTCTTGTATATGGTCAAACGGTGCCAGTGATCTCGCCCGCGCGGCTTTCTCCATCAGGTAGAGTGGGTACATATTTCGAATTTCAGCTTGAGCGGCGGTGGTCGGGGCAGGAGGTGTGGATGTGGATGTGGATCTGGAAGTGGAAGTGGAAGGGAAGTGGAGGTGGAAGGACACACTGGATAGCTTGGTGTTTTTGGCTGATGAGAGAGATCTAGAGAGAGGGGAAGAGACCTCTAGCTCTCTCTACCTCTGGGCGTGGAGATGTAGCGGTGAGTGTAGCTGTTCTATTTACTTTTATTTTACAAATGAATATGGTGTTAATTGCAAAAGTACCTATCGACTTACCCAGCTTGTCGATAGTAGCGTAATCATGTGGGCTGCTTGTCTGTCTGTCTGTGAATTTGAACTACTGGGGGGCTGCGTGTCTTGTCTCTGAACGTACGGGGAGTAATCTTGAACCATAGCGGTATCTAATTCAATTCGGTTTCATACATAGAAACTAAGTTTTAAGTAAGTACATGTATGTATGTACATATGTATACACATGAGATCTAGTAAGCAGCCCAAAAGCCATTCCAAAGCCAATCCGTCCACCCTTTCCTTTCCTTCCCCCCCTGACCATAGCTACCGCGCGCCAGCCAGCTAGGCCAGCAGGTTGATTCAACGCTATCTACTCCATATCTACTCTATACCTCCCCCCCCATACCGAACTACACATATATAACCAATGAGATCTATAACACAACAGCAGCAACAACACAGAAATCTATAAACTGTTCGTGATATTCATAAGCCAACGCATAAATCTTCGTTAAAGAGAAAAAAAAAAGCAGAAACAGAAACAAAGGAAAAACGGGTAAACAAGACACCCTCCCGCCCTCATCCTCCGTGGGTTAGATATCTAGACCAAGACCAAGGCCTGCCTGAATGAATGCATGCATGCATGCAGCTATATGTATAGCTGGCTGGTTGATTAGTTACAAAACGCCCCCCCCCCCCCCCCCCAAATACAAATACCTAGGCCTGGCTGGCCGGCCGCCGGTCAACAGAAAATAATAAATAAAAATAAAAGTATGAAGTCCTGTGTAAAGTAAAGAAGAAAAAAAAAACATTACGATCATGCACAGTGTCGAGATCAAAATGTACATCTATAATCTGGTTTTTTTTTATAAGGGTCGAATCGAAGGGGGTTATATAAAAAAAAGAAGTAGTAGATATACTAAATGTTAAAGCTTAAAGTTAAGTTTAAAAAAAAACAGGAAAATGGCGTAAATGTCGTAAAAAGTATTTTTCATGGCCCCTTTATAGTGTGATTGATTAACCAAAAACCAAAACCAGGTAGTTCGTATGTGTGTATATATGCCAAAACCAGCCGGCCTAGGGAAGACAGGTAGGAATGGGTGTGCACAACGAGATATTAGAGAGGTGGTGATGATGGTGGTCGTGGTCGTGGTGAGTTGTAAACGTAAACTCTCGCAAGTAACGTAAGGAGATATTAGGGAGCCATCTCAGCATTAAAACTCGCATATCGTCTTGATCTTTATCCCCCTCTCAGCCGCCGCCGCAAAGGCAACAACAACCCTCAGAAAACCCAAGGGGGGCCAACCAAACCAACCACCCATTAAAAAAAAGGGCCATAACCTTCCACTCCACCCCGCACTAATACCCCCCACTCATCCTCCCAAAGCCCCTCTCCCCCCTCCCCACCATCCCGCCAATCCCCCTCCCCTCCCGCCGCCCTCGGCCTCCAATGATAATCCTCACAGCTGTTCCCGCCCATATACGCCATCGGCGTCCTCCCCGCATCGTCGCGCACCGTCACGCTCGCCCCCGCCGCAACCAGCACACTGCACACCTCGACGCGCCCCTCCAGCCTCGCCAGATGCAGCGGCGTCTTCCCGTCGAACGTGTCCTGGGCGTCCACCTCCGCGCCGCGGTGTAGTAGCACCCGCACCACGCCCTCGTGCCCCCAGCGCGCCGCATGGTGCAGCGGCGTCGTCCCATGTACGAGTGTGCGTGCGTTGGCGTCGTGCCCCTGCTCGAGTAGCTGCCGCACGAGCGCGGTGTGCCCCTTCCAGGCGGCCCAGTGCAGCGGCGGGAAGTCGAGCGCGGGGTTGAAGCCCTGCGCGGCCATGGCGGAGTGCTGGAAGAGCGGGGTGATGAGGACGGCGAGGGCGCGGGATGAGAGGAGGAGGGCGTGTTGGTCGTCTGGGTCGAGGTGGGAGGCGATGAGGAGGATGATCTCGGGGGGGAAGGAGAGGAGGGGGAGCTTGGATTTTAGGCTGCTGCGGTGGGGGTGGCGGTGGTGGTGGGTGGGGGTGTAGGTGTGGTGTTTTTTGAGCGTGGGGCGGGGGAGGTGCTTCCAGGGCTTGCGGAGGGGTTTTGCCTGGATTGTGGTGCCGGAGAGGGAGATGGGGGTTGTTTGGCGGATGGGGGGGAGGAATTGCGGTGTTTGGTCTTCTTCGGTGGGGGTTGGTGTTGGTGGTGGTGGTGCTGTTCTTGTTGCAGCTGTTGTGGTTGCAGTGGTGGTTGCAGTTGTGGTTGCAGTTGTGGTTGCAGTGGTGGTTGTAGCGGTTGTGGCTGCGGGGCTGCGGGCGGCGGCGGCGTCGTTGTCGTCGTCGTCGTCGTCGTCGTCGAGTCGTAGCTCAGCGGGCGGAAGCGGGCTGTTGTTGTTGCTGTTGATGTTGTTGTTGTTGTTGTTGCCGCCCTTGCATTAGGGATCTTCTCGTTGGCCCTGGCTGCGAGGTGATGCCCACAGAAACACGATCTGAAAAACGCCTTCACCTTGCTTCTAGTTGCTCCTCTCCGGCTTCCTCCACGCTCTCTCTCGGACAAGGAGGCGCGGAAATGGATATGTGGCATTATGATTATTATTCTCGCAAATTAAAAAATAAAAGTACTATTTTTCTCCGAATTATCTCCTCGTTCGGATCTTGCTGCTGCTGCTGAAGTGCTGTGTCTGTCTGTGTGTGTCTGTGGTCGAATGGTCTAGTGTCCGCCCTATCCTTCTCTTCTGTTCTGTTCTGTTCTGGGGGGAAAGGGCGAGGGTGTGCAAATTTCTCCTTCTCCAATCTTCCCTTTTTATCTTCTCGTCCGTCTGTACGGTGCGGTGCGGTGCGGTGCTGTTGCCACGATGTTATTATGATCAGATCAGATAGACAAGTGCACACCAGATCCAAATCCAAACATGCACGCAAGCAAGCAGGTAAGGCAAGCTTAAGGTAGGTAGGTAGGTGCAAGGCAATCAAGCAAGCAAGCAAGCAGGCACAGGCACAGGCACAAGCACAGGCACAGGCACAGGCACAGGTACTTGTATCATATCATAATTCCTCTCCCACTCTACTCTACTTTACCTACTCTACCCTCCATTAGTGCATAGGTAGGTAGGTACTCTTACTCTCGGAGGCAAGTTTTAAACGCAAGTACTCGTGCATAAGGTATCTGCAGGCATCACGGTTTTACCAGGGCACTCCCGGGCAGGGCAGGGTAGGTAGGGCGGAGAAGAAGCAAGTAGGGTAGGGAGAATAAATGGAAATGGATGGATGGATGAGCTGCATGGTGGGGCACTGGGGGCATGCCATCCGAGCACCCCATCATCATCACCCCCCTCCACTCCCCCGTTACATACGATCAGAGGGAGTGTCAATCATGTCTATCGATAATCTCCCCCTACCTTGTCTACCGTTGGGGAGGGAGGGAGTAGGTATTCAGGGCCCATAGGCTCATGCTCATGCTCATGCTCTGCTCAGGTGCTGCGTTCCATCCATCCGTGTTTCCTCTCACCAATTGATCCGCCTCTCAACAGGACAACCGCGAGCCAGTTGTTTAGAATGCATCATATCATTGATAGATAAGGGGTAGGCAAAAGTGTTTTTTTTCTCTCTTCTAACGTTAACGTACAGCCATCCATCCATTGCATCTCTCTCGCCGTGCAGCCATTTGTTTCTCGCTCTCCTTGAATCGAATCTGGCACCCCACTTTACCCTTTGACCGCGGTACCCCGGCCAATCCAATCCAGTTCAGTCCACCCATCACCCCCATCTATGGCCAGTCAAAGTTAAGTCAATCAGGTCATCAATGCACCCCGAGCGAGCAACCCTTCCTCAAACACACACACACACACACACACACCCTAAACTAGGCCCTCTAGAGTATCTACAATCAATTTACTTTTACTCCTGATGATCATGATCCCAGATGCCCGCTGGTGCAAACATTTTTTTTCTTCGTACATACGTCTGTGTAGCCCACCTCACCCACCTACCTCACCACGTCAAGCGTTACATGTCCGAAATAACTCCATGTATGTAGAGTATGCACATACATCATGCTCCCTCCCTCCCTCCCTCCCTCCCTCCCTCCCTCCCTCTCTAGAGTAAATTCTCCCTGCGCGTTTTTGCACCACCGCCCTGGCTGGCTGGTCTGGCTGGCAGTTCAATTCGTCTTGCTTGCTTGCTTGCTTGCTGGCTGGCTGGCTGGCGACCGACCGACAGACGGGCGGACGGACGCTTGGACCATCTGGATGGAGTAGAGCAGGTAGGCAATTAAACTCTCTCTGCTCTACTCTCCTCTACTCCAGGCTTCAGCTAGCAGCACTCTACCTCCAGTACAGCTACTCTCCTCCGCAGCAATTCATGGAAGCGAGCAAGAAGGCGAAAGAGAAAGGGAAGGTGGCCGTTAAGCCATACATGCATGGCGTGCCATTACATACATGCACGCGTCCCTCGCCTCCCTCCCTGCTCGTTAAATTTCCCCCATCCTATCGCTGATTTGGCGCGCTCCCGACACTCCCTCCTTAGCTCCCGCTTACACGCTTACAGAGGAGAGTGCTTACCTAGGTAGAGTAAGGTAAGGTATGTAGGGCTGAAACTGCCCTGTGCGGGGTGTGGTAGGGTGTGGGTAGGGTGGTTATCCGAGAGGGAGGGAATATACGGTAGGTGGAAGTAGCTGCGTGCATGTATGTATGTAGAGTAGGGAACAAAGTAGGAAGGGAAGTGCTGGAGAGAGTAGGTAGAGTAGAGTAGAGCACACATCACATCACATCTGGAGGGGTCCTTCCTACGTACCAGGTACGGTCTGGCTGGTCTGTAGACAGGGTGTTTACCTCCCTTACCTTCTGTACGCTCTCTCTCTACACACAGCCAGGTATGTAGCCAGGCAGCAGCCAGCCAGCCAGACAGGTAGAGTACATGTACCTATGGGAGTATATATGGAGAAGGTACACACAGCACCTCTACTATATCAATCGTACATTATCGTACATGACATGCCCTACCCAGCACTATAGTGCAGTCTCTATTTACAGTGTCTACCCAGCACTCTACTCTAGGTACTCTACCTAGAGCACATATATGCACTTATGTAGCTGTACTCTGTACTACCTACCCTCTCTACTCTTCAACTCTCTCTACTCCCCCCTCTCTACTCTACTCTACCTACCCGTACCACCCTCCCTCACCCTCACCTCCACTGCAGCCCAGCCCAGCCCAGCCAGCCAACCCACGCCATCCCCCCTCGGCTCGACAAAACCCACCCGGCAAGCCCCAATGCCTCCTTTCGGCCAGGGTTAGGTGATATCTGAAAGATGGCTTTCTGCTAGCGCCACTAGTGCGCTGAATCGATCGTCGCACTGTTGGCTGGATGGCGATATGGGGAAGACCCTGGGTGTGGATTGGCGGAAGGGTGTCTGTCGTCACTGGTTTGCCTGGCGTGGCGTGGGGTGGGTGCTGGTGCCTGGTGGGGTTGGACGGACGGACGGGGACGGGGTGGGATGGCAGTGGGGTGGAGTGGGGAGGACGGCGTTTTAAGCTTTTGATAGGAAGCTGGATGCGGGGAGGTGGGGGAGGCGAGGGAGGCGACATTGACAACTGCAATAGTAGGTGTGATAATATATGCAATTGCAACTGTAACTATAATAATAATAACTGTAGATACTATCATATAGATGCACGTAGACATCACGCAGATCAAAACAATGCCAACGTTTTTAATCTACATGTACAGAAAGAATTAACTACATACAAAGTAGGTACAGAAGCTTGCTGTATCTATCTACCAAAACACATGATACAAACACATACACTTCCTCAATCCCCATCCCCAATCCAGCTAATTGTCCGAATCCGCCGTCAGGTTCCCCGCCAACTTCCTAAACCTCAGCGTCCCCCACACCGCATTATCGCCCATCGTATTCCACGTATTCGTCTGCTCAAAGCTCTGCGCCATCAGATGCTCCCTCACATACGGCATCTCCTTCCCCTCCTTCTGCGCATAATGCGCATATGCAATCTCATACACCGGCGGAAACTGCCCCCTCGACACATTCGAGATGACCTGCCACGGGCCGCCAACCAAGTTTGCGCCGCACCGGTAGAACCCCGGATCATACTCCACATCATACCCCAGGTTATACTTTGCCGTGTACTCGTAGCCCACCATCAGGCGGTCCTCGTACAGCCCCCAGTACTCGGCGTCGCCCTGGTTCTCGGCCGTCAGGCAGATCTCGGCCATGTTGCCGAGGCCGAGCGAGGTGTGGCCCTGGTCGCGCCCGGACTCGCTGTTCTGCCCAAAGGTGTTGATCTGGTTGGTGATGTTTGCGCACTCGTGGTGAAGGTAGTGGTTGAGGCCCTCGTGGTACATGGTGCTGTTGTCCAGGAAGACGCCGAACGCTACGAGCGCCTTTTCGGCGCTGGTGCCCCAGTTGGCAAGGCTGCAGGCGCGGAGCGTCAGTGATCGCCGCCGCTATGGATGCATGTCCTCCGTAGAGTAGAGTATTTGCGGGGAGGGATGTACGCGGGGGGGGGGGGGGGTAGGGGGGTTCGGGAGAGTGATCTGATCTATGAGGGAGGGAGCTAGGTAGGCTTAGTAGAGAGTACTTACAAAGGATACTTCTGCCACTCTGTCGGCCACGTCTGCGCCGCGTGCGGGTAGAGGACGTTCAGCACCATGCTCTTGAACTTGTCAATGTCGGCGCTGGCCCAGCCGCTGTAGTAGGCACGGATGATCTCGGCCGCGTTGACGAACTGCGGGCCGTAGAGGCCGGCGGTCAGCTGTGCGTCTGTGCCGTTGAGCTTCTGCAGCGTGTTGGCCCAGCTAGTGAGGATCTCGGTGGATTTGATGGCGTGGGCTTCGTCGCCGGTGATGTAGTACCTGTTTTTATTGACGTGCCCGGGATTAGTATATATATAGTACGATGCTAAGTGCAGGTCTAGCTATATAGGGGAGCAGCAGCGGGGAGAAATGAACCCCGAAAAGATAGAGAGCGGGTGGGGCACTCGACTCACATCAGTGCGTTCTGCAGAGCCGCGACACCGTCATAGCTAAACTCCGTCTTGCCTGTCTGTGTGCCCGTAACATTCCTTACGACATAGGGCAAGGGGCCCCTCATCGTGTAGGTCGACAACGAGAGCTCATTGCTGGAGAAGGCGACAAAGGCGGGATACCAGGGGTCGAGCTTCTGCGCGACAGAGGTCTTCATGCGATCGAGGTCGGCCTTGGTGTGCAGGATGCTGTGGTGGGAATAGTTAGCTCTCGGTCTAGATCAAAGGGGATGTTATATTGTATTATTAGTGTGATTGGTACTGACCCAGGATGGATAAACGTCTTTTCGACCTGTTTGCGCGTGTGTTGTTCGTAGCTGTTCCCGCGGGCACAGAGCGGGCTTGCGAGCACTGCTGTTGCGGAGGCAGCGAGGCCGAGGAGTGGGAGGGACCGTAGGAAGAACATATCTATAATCTATATATATAAGGCCGTTTATGCCGCAGGAAAGGCGATTTTGCTGAACGTATAAATATTTTTTGTCCCAAGAGGTTGGCTCATGTTTATATATGTGACGTCCCTCCTCCTCCTACTCTAGACCCCTCCCCCGCGCGCGCCGCCCCTTTCTGTTTCTGTGATATTGTCCCCCATCTCGATAAAAGTATTTCAGGATCATCCGGACACTGACAGCCGGACCTAGGTACCCTGCCCTGCCCTCGCTAACCGACGTCGACTACTACCCCTTCGTTTCTGCTATACAATGTCAAAAGCTTGCGCTAGGCAGTAGTTAGACGACGTTGGCGGCGCGGCGCGGCGGAGAAAGCCCGAAAACTCCTCCGCCAATAAAAACAGATCAACCGCGTCTCAGGGAAACGTGACGCAAAAGCAATTTTCCACACCTCAGGACAGGGATCTTGATTCTCTTCCACGTTGTTTTTGTGTGGGGAAGAAAAAAGGGCGGGGAAGGAGGGAGGGAGAGAGGGTGTGTTGCAATTGCCCCTGATGATCGAGCAGCGCCCGGTTGGTACTTGGCCGATCCCCGAATTAAAGAACCTTCTTTGATGGTTCCATATATGATCGATCGCAAGAGTGAATCTCTCACTGTGAGGGAGTCGTCGTGAGGGACTCCGCCTGTAACTCCGCACTCCGGTGTCCAGGCTTGTTGGAGTACTCTTGGGGATGTACGAATAGTAGTGCTCAGCTGCCCTGCATAAGTAATTAATTATTTCGAGTTCTAATGACTCAGCAGGGATTTACAGAGTGGGTTAGGTGAAGTAGGGGGTGTTACTGCTACTGCTAGTCGGCCAGTCCTTGCAACGGTCCATTAAGATTGCCAAGGATCGAGTGATCGATTACTGTAGTTCAACAACAGGCGATATAGAGTACGGTACATATCAGATCATTTATCGCTCCGTTCTCCTTCACTAGGGCATTATCGAATTCGCAGGACCTCTGAGTGTCCCCTGTTATCCAACTACATGTAGCTATGGAAAATTTAATTCGTCATGGAAGACGACGTCCTAACAGGCCAATCTCTCTCTAGCTCTCCCTTGAAGGAAATGATCCATTAGGATTCAAGAGAGAGCATGAAAGTGAAGATCCGGCACCGACCCGCAATCAAAGTTGTCCTGTAACATGAGTGATGAAGTTGTTGGCTATTTTTTTTTATGGAATTTGAGTTAGTGTTTTGTGATAGACATCAGAACACGCACGGCCTTACAGTGAGTACATATGTATTTGACGCTGTTAATGGTGCACGTTATGAAACACTTATGGTTAATGCGGCTTTCTGGGGAAAGGGGGGGGGGGGGGGTTGTGGCCCAATACCCAAGAGCGAAAGAACGAACGAAATCTATAGATACAAAATTGGCCATGGCCCCAAAACCAAAGGAATCCTTCCCAGCCAACAGCAATCCTACACGGGACGCGGCAAAGGACGAAACAAGGGGTCGAGGGCAAGGGCCCGGGCGCGGAACTGGTCGTAAGTGGGGTCGGGGGCGCCGGCGAAAGAAGTCGTGACCGCCGCGACCAACGGTTGATGGGTTCTCAGGCGGAGGAGGTTGAGACGGGCGGAGGGCGAGACGCCGGCGTGGGCAGCAAGAAGCTGGAACTCGGAGATGAACTCTGGGAACGAACGAGAACCCTGGTAACAGTCTTCTAACGCGAGGTAAGAGTCGTGTGCCAACGCGGCGACAGAGAGACCCCAGATTCTTTCGAGATCGTCAAGGTTTTCCTTGATGGCGGCGAGGGCGGCGGCGGAGCTTGGAAACTTCTTGTCCGAAGTTGGGCGAATCCAGGCGCATGCGTACTCGAGCACGGGGCCCGAGATGGCGGCGCGGAGGAGGATGAAGGCGGATAACTCCGAAAGGGCAAGGGCGTTGGCAGTGACAAAGTCTTCCACCTGGGCACGGAAACCGGGCCACAGGTTTCGGTTTGCACCGTTATATTTGTCCCCGTCGAATTCTGGGAGGGACGGATCAGAGGAGGAGGCGGCGACAGGGGCGGTGGCCTCCTTCAGCTTTGGGATCTCCGCGGTGTTGATGGCCTGGCGGCGAAGGGTGACACCCTGTTGCGGCCCACCGGCGGCAGCGGAAGATCTAGAACGAACGGCGATGACGGCTCGCCAGTAGCTAATAATAATGGCCGTGACCAGGAGCGCCGCGAGAGACCATGTGGTGGACGCCCCGAGGGTGTCCAAGACGAAGGTACGCATGGCGGCCTGGGCGATACACGGTTAGAAGATCGAGTTCTGAATGGGGCGTTGGTACATGTAGCTATAGATACATGTATGTACTGGGGGTTCATGAGGGAAAGTACAAAGAATCTGATAAGAGAACCCTGCCGCAGGCACGCCAGAGGCAGGAGGAACAGAAATGCACCAGAAGCCCCCAGTCGTATAGCTATAGGCTTCTTCTTCCGCTAGCTGAATCAGAGTATACTATTTACATGTAGTTTCAATGGATGTATCGTACTTGTAGGGAGAAATGAGGGTTAGGGTTAAGACATATAATATCACTCGTTGGGAACCCCGCACTCTTCCGGCTATGGTACTCTCTACTCGCTCTTGGGTACGGGCCTTAATGAAAGGGAGTAAAAGTGGCTGGCTGGTCTTCACATCGTCAAAACAAGTCAGGAGAATAATTTCGTTCGAATATTCTTTTTTTGATTACCTCAAACATTTATATGAGAAGAAGAATTTCAAGTTAGAAAAATGTAGATTCATCTGATTCTTATTGTAAATGAAATCATGATCCACTTATCTCCGAGTATTTACTCAAGTACATGCTTTGATTATCCAAATCCAACCAGTGAACGTAATCTAAAGTGACAATAGAGAGACTCGATATAACAACCATACAAAAGATAATACCCATAAAAACCACCTAGTGAACCATCCACATACAACCTCCCCCATGAATAAACAAATCAATCCTGTCCGAAAGCAGATCTGTTCATCTTATACTTTGTAATCATCATCGCCATGTGACCCTTGCCCCCTCCCAGATCGTAGTCGGCGTAAAATGCAGTCGCCTGGTCATCCGCGTCCTGTTCACTCAATTCTTCAACATTGTCCAAGAATGTGTCCTCGAACTTAGCTGATAGCCCCGGACGTCCTTTAAGTTCCTCGAAGTTCTCACTCTCGAGACTGTGGCCCCATGACCCTATAAAGAGTCCGAATTGCCACGGTTCAAGGGTAAGACATAGAACTCGCGAGATCCAATACATATCTAGTTCGTCTTCCTTGCTTGGTAGGGTCTCGATGTAGGTATTGATGTTTTCAAACCGATGCTGCTCAAACCTTCGGACGGTACGGAAGAAGAGATCCTTAGAGAATGGATTTTCCTGTGTGAAAGACGGGGGAGGAATTTCCTTGTTTTCTTCCGGGATGCTATGGTCCTTGAGAAGTTCGAAGTCGATCGATTTATATTTCGCGAGACTCATCTCAAAAGTGCGTAGTAGAGTCTCAGCTCGGCCGATATGGGTTGTACGGAAGATAAAATCTTTGCAGACTAGAGCTTCGGAAGCGGCGTAATCAGCTCCATTGCGTACAAGTTGACAGGAAGAGTTCATGTATGTCAGGACTGTTGTGATTGCTTGATAAGATTCCCCTAAGAGATTTTTCGCGACCTGGTTACGAAGGGTTGTTTTGTAATGCTTGAATAGCTCGCGAGATACTGGAGAAATGCGAATGAGTCTTCTAAGGTCTTGGAAGGAATTTATTTTCATCATGACGTTGACGACCAGTTCTGGTGGAAGATTCTCAAGAGGAATCTGGTTTGGGAGGATGGCGACTGATTGCTGGGTAGGCAGGTCACTGTAATAAGAACGTATTAAGTTAGCTTTGTTTTTGGGGTTAGGGGGTGTTCAGAGATTTTACCTGTGGACTTCAGGCCTATTGATAATCATGGCAGACGAAGACATGATTGTGTTAAGAATAAAGATGTTATGATGATAAGATATATTCAGTAGTTGAGTACTAGTTTCTGTTCTAAAATAATAGCTGTTAACTATATGATGATCTTCTTTTAGGTATGTAGGGCCTAGGATAGATAGAGTCATACAAACTAATGATATACTTTACTTCTTTCGATAGATGATAGCTTGAAGAGGCTTAGGAAAGGCTCGAAGAGGCTTGGGAAAAGCTTGAAGAAGCTTGGGAAAAGCTGTTAAAATATCACTGACTGGATATTTGGTAATAGTTGTTATTTAGTCCAGCAGATGGAGTTTAGTTGATTAAGTTAAAGTGAGGAAAGATCGTAGGAAGATCTTATTTTATACTAGCCCCAACCGGGTGCAAAACATCAACTACGGGCCAAAACGAACCTTTGGGGTAGCCACTAAGACTTTTACACCATAGCAAATTGCAAGAGCCAAGGCCCAGTCCTAGTTACTGGTCCAAAATATACAGCTACCTAGCTAGCGAACGTCTATATAGCTATGCCCTATTAGCCATCGTTCTCCCTCCATCTTCAAGCTTGGCCCGAATTCCGCCATGAAAAGTCCCCCATTTTGAGAAGCAAAAACTAAGCAGCTCCTTCGACGTTATAACAGAACACCGTTCGTCTATAATAGTCAGTATGACTACATGTAATGTGGCCCCGGCGAGCTGGCTTGAGACGAGCAGCAGGAAAAGCTTCACTTGGTTCATGATAGCAGCTTATAGCTGCTCGGCTCGTAAGTGATCGAATCTTTCAGTGGCCCCATTTATGAGTTCTTGAATTCATGAAGTCATGCTTGATCGACATGATTCTCCCTCCTTCCACGACCCGATATCCCTTGGCCCATTGAATTTGGCCATATATGTGCGAGCATTATTTCAGCAAAAAACGATACAGTTATATATAACCTCCTATATATATTCTCTTTTCAGAAATTTTCTTCCTCATACATACATGTATACTCAGGACTTGAACTGGTATACTTACGAGGAGAATACAGGTTGAAAACTCGAGGGGTCTTTCTTTTCTGATAATTAATTATCTATAGAATCAAGCCTCACCGCTCCGCTAATCAACAACTGCTCACTGCGATATGAGATAGAGAAAAGTTTTGGCCTTTAGACTTGTGCATGTGTAACCAGAGACGTCTTTATTACTGGTAAGAATGGATGACTGTTAGTTGCGAAAGAATATATGGAAATTACTTTTATATCGGTGGAATTATGAGGAATGCTCTTGCTGCACTTATAATATTAACTACATGCACATATTATATCGAGGCCTAAGGCTAGCCCTCCTTAATTCTCGTTGGGTGGCACTTAAGACCCAACACTTTCCTCTGTCCATTCTTTATTTTCGTCTTCGTCTTTCGAATTTCTCGACTTCGTTGTCCTGCCAATCGCCAAACTCTGCACCTAAATATCTAACCCCGTCTCTCCGACTTACTCCACCTCGTATAATCGTGCTCTGTCCTACCAAATGTATGCTCCACCCTAAACTGTGAAAATCGCATTACAAACGCCCAATTCTCTCCCGCAGCTAACAGCTTATCCTTGCACCCAATTACATCAACTAGTGTTCTCCACGACACCGTCCGAGACGAGACTAAGGCCCAGTCTTGTCTCGTCTTGTGAAATAAGGGTGCCAGTCTCGTCTCGTCTTGCCCATCCCGAGACAGCCTTGAGAAAATCGAGTGAGTAGTTGTGAGCCAAGACTCCAATAAAAAGCTTTGTGTTTATCTCTTCCTTGATGCCTCTACTCAGAACTTACCTGTTTCCTGGTCTGGCTGCTCAAACTCTACCCGATAAACATGTAAGAAACACTTGAGTTTTATTTGCTGCCCGGGAGCAGCGGGGTTGGGGGAGAGCTAGACTATTTTGCCACTAGCACCTATATTTTGGCATATTTCAAGCCGGTCTCGAGACCAAAAATATTTGGTGTCGAGCTGTTCGAGACAAGAGTCTCGAGACAAGACTTCGAGACGTCTCGTCTCATGGAGAACACTAACATCAACCATCGTCTCTCTCACATTTCTCGTGGACTTGCGGTCATCCTACACGCCCACGCCAGCGCTCTTGAAGATCACGAGAAGTGTAAGTACCCATCGGGGTAGTGGCTTTGTACGACCGAGAGTGAGTGTTGACAGCGGACTCGAAGACAGTACCGAAGAAATGGCTGGATTCTGGATGCGTTATAGTCGGTGAGCCTGCTCGTGGGTTTGGAAAGGTGAAATGTAAGATACAACCGCTACGGTGGGCCATGGGCATCGTCGCTTACTAACTAATGATTGTAGCCGCCGATATAGAAGTACACTAGGTTTCAAGGTTAAGATAGAGCTCAAGGAGACTACGCCGGCCTGATTTAGTGCTCCGTCGAATCTCAGGAATTATTTAAAATTTACTGTCTAATGCTTCAACACCACACTCTGTGATCCATCGAAGCCTTGATTATACTATCAAGCCACCTACTCGGATATTTTACACGGCTGGTACTCATCACTCTATTTTGTAGTGATCTTTCCTTAATATCGACATCTGGTGCGCGCTCTCCTTCACCGTCAGGGTACCTAATGTGTCGAGAAGGATTTCTATGTCTTCTTGGGAGCTTAATTTCTCCTATTTCGTTGTCGGTCCATATATATTATATTAGGGGCTTGAGGGCGTGTAAGATAGGTATATTAAGAGCTAGTAGCGGACTAGCATATCACTGAGAATTGTGAGATGACTATTAACCAATTCGAAAGGGGGGTGTTTTCTATTACTTCCCCAAGTGACACGGTAACAAAGTTCGTTTTCCTTAATCAAGGTGATAATTAACTGTCAGAGGGTCTTATGGGCAGATTGGTTCTACGAGGGAGCTTTGGTGATTAATCCATGCCTTTACCTGTCCGGCATAATCCCCAAACCAATCACATATCCAGCTGGAAGCTGCTTTTCTTGGGCCATTGGGCAGGAACAAGGGCTCGAAAGAAAATACGAAAAATTCTCTGAGTTAGCTGGTGAACGAGAAGTTGAAGTGATGAGTAAGCTTGCAGGGCTTAGATTTAGGTGGAGGAGTTGAGGTTAGTGAGAAACTTGGCAAACGATAAGATAATGGGTCTAGCATAGCAACCGAGCATGAAAAAGCACTCGGTCGCTCATGTTTCTATCCGTACGCATTCATCCTTGAGACGTTGAATATAGCCCACTGGGATACGGTTATTTGAAGCCCGAGCTGTTATCACGCAACAAAGGTCGGAGAAATATCCGCAGCGCAGGGAAGCCGAGATGGAAGGGCCCACCTACTATAAATCCTCGGAATATACCGTTTAACAACAAGTTTCATACTAATGATGGATGGGTTAGGGGTCTACGTATATCAACTTGACTTGATTTGCATGAAATGTAGTTCGAGCACACTGGTTGAGCTGAATCTTATTAATACGAGCCTTCCACAACAGGCAAAGTATTCAAGTTTTCATGCAGTGAAGCACATACATCATACCTTTGCCAGCGGAGTGACTTTTCGGAAGTTTTAAGGAATCCTCCGTATTTATCGGCAACAAATGTTCCGATTCCCCTGGGAGCGAGATTTCGGTACAAGGATTCCTAAACCAGGTTCAGATACCCCAACCCTGATCAGCCGGCCACTGTCAATTCTGACTATCTAACGTGGACTATTTTGGCTCACTAATTCATACCGGCCGCTATTACTTGGTTTTGTATGGGATTTCTTATTGAATCGAATCTTACACTAAAAGTACGATCTCGGTCAATCTTTGTGGTGGGGTCATATCGTGCTATTATTGTGGGGAAGCTTGTTGTTCTCGCCGCGAAAAAAAGAGTAGAAGGTTTTCCCGGCTAAATTAAAAGGCCATGACATATATGACCCTGCATTATACCCCACAATATACGACCGAGGCACCGAAACAAATGTTCCTGGAGATCTTTCCCAGTTGTTTTCTTCTGCAGACTAGGAGGTAGCTGCAAAGGAAGCGCATCAGTAAAGATCCACTCATGGCTAGGAAAGCATGCCCAATATATAATTCGACAGCTGTTGAAGGAGACAACGGACCGTGGGCCGTTTCTGTCCGCTCCGGAACTCCGTCAAAGTCAGTTCCTTCCATTGTAATAGTTAGGGTCCGGTTTTCCTTAAATAAGACGAACTTCTCCCAAGAACTCCAAGCTCCCCATACCGAAACTTGTGTAAAGAACCGGTCCACCCAGCAAAAATGAAGTTCGCACTCGTCGCCTCTCTGCTTCTTAACGCCGCTGCTACCCTTGCCGCTGATTTCTGCGGACAATGGTAACTGATACTCTACCGTCTTTTTCCCATAGATCAATCATTGACACCTGTATAGGGACACGGCAACCACGAGCAACAACTACATTATCTATAACAACCTCTGGGGCTCTAGCGCAGCCACCTCTGGTTCTCAATGTACCGGTCTTGACTCGGCCAGTGGGACCACCGTTGCATGGCACACCTCATGGACCTGGGCTGGTGGCCCATACAACGTCAAGAGTTTCGCAAATGCCAACTTAGTCTTCACCCCTAAGACTGTTGCAAACATTGCTTCTATTCCTTCTACCATGAGATACAGGTATGTATAGCTACTTTTGTAACTAGAAGCCTAAATCTAATTATCACCAATTAGTTACACTTACTCCGGCACTATGGTCGCCAATGTCGCCTACGACATCTTCCTTGCCGCCACTTCTGGCAGCAGCACCTCCGCCTACGAGGTCATGATTTGGCTCGGAGCCTACGGCGGTGCCGGCCCCATCTCTTCCAGCGGAAGCGCAGTTGCCACAGTCACCATTGCTGGGTACTCATGGAAGCTCTACGACGGTTACAACGGCTCCATGCACGTTTTCAGTTTCGTAGCCGTCAACAGTCCTATCACAAGCTTCAGCGGCGACACCAAACTGTTCTTGACTTACCTTGTTAACAGCTACGGCCTGCCGAGCTCGTACTATGTTAACACCATCCAGGCTGGTACTGAGCCATTCACTGGTACCAGTGCGAAGCTTACTGTGTCGGCTTTTTCTGTTGTCGTTAACTAAGTTGTACATTAAGAAGAGGGGGGTGATCATGAGCTTTGTAAAATCTAAAATTGAATATGTTATTGTCCGTGAATACTTGCAGCTTTGTGAAGTAATTGATATTCTTCATCGTATAGAAGTTTCATTAACAACGATTTATGTTTCTGGGTTGGTCATTTATAAACAAAGATCCGGTGGTGTGAAGATAATTGAGGCGCCACCGCCCTGGCATCTATTGCTAGTACCAAACTGGTGGAGAAATGGACTCTCAGACTGGGAATCACTTTCGTCTTCGAACTTTATTAAGGTAACAGAAACTTGTACAATGATAGCAGCCTGGGCACTAGGGGCTCGAGATTAGTCTTCAAGTGTTGCTATTAGAATAAGATTTGGAAGAATTCGTGCGGTTACCGTGTTGAAGAATGTACGTAATAATGGACGCCTTCTCGTAAGCATAGCAGACGTTCTATTGCCAGATAGACCAAATTTTGGTGTTCTATCGAATAGAACGGGGAATCTATGTGTTTCTTATAGACCCCCCCCCCCCCCCTCTCTTCTAGAAGAAGGGGGGGGGGTTCTATTTGATTCATGAACTCTATCAATTTTCTATCCGTTGCAATAGGGAGGACACCTCGCTAGCGATAGAAATAGTCCCAAAAAATGGCTTTGCGATACCGAATCAGTATTAGACATGCACTGATTAGATTTTTAAGAATTTATATCAATCACCGTATGTTTACGGGAACCTGGTCTATTCGAAAACGATTCTCTATTGCAATATAATACGTTCAATAGCTTACGGGAAGGCGTCCAATATGGGGATCCATTTTTACATGTGGTATTAGTTCTAAATCTGGATGTGCGAGGTTAAAACTAGGTGCAAAAACACGTAAGCACTATTTTTCTGGCATTGACGGAATGAAAGGTTATCAGTTAGACCTGTATTATATTATAAACTCGCTTTTTTTCTTTCATTTTTTCCTCTTTCCTACTCTTCTTTTAATAGAAAAGTAGCCAGCATACTCGCCCAAATGGCTGTATATTCGATTGACATAGTATTTCTAAAACCTCTCTATCAACCTGGGAGTTTATTCTGAATTGTGTATCCTGTTTCCGCCGTGGATATCTTGCAGGACCAGAGATAAACCACCAAGCCAGTGCTGATGCGCCTTAATGTGGTAATCAATAGATCTAAACAGTGCACCACTTATAAAATTTAAAACGAGGCTCAAAGGCCAGCAAAGCAATGAGTAGGTCCACTATATTTGTGATTGACAATTCAGTCTGGTTCAAGGTCTTTATGGACCAAAAAGAGGCAAATATTCCTCATGATATAGATATTTACTGCAAAGTTAATTTTTCTTATTGTGTAGTTCCACACAGAGCCCAAAGAAGCAAAACACACGAACAAGCCACCATTTACGTATCGCATCCTCCTTCTCATTTCTCTTCTTCATATCATGCATGTAGCCGGTACATATGATGAGTCGATTGATCATGCTCTGACATTCGACTAGGTAGTTCATCTGGTGAGTTGATAATAGACTCGCGTACCGTATGTAATTTTGTCAACTTCTGCGGATGTCATGTGGTCTTTGTACAACTGACGCTCTATGCGATATCCCGTTGGGCTATTATAGAGATAAGTAGCCTTCATCCAGCCGGTATATACTTCCTCCTCAGATTGCCAATCAATCAACAGCCATACCAGTTAATACCATCAACATCCGTACTATTGACACTCCCCTTCCCTCCTACAGACTCAGAACCAAATCTGCAGTCTGAAATAACGCAGTTTCTATTTGAGCCAGACCCTCTAGAAGCACATGCTAGCTTAGAACACGGTGTAGGCTCAAGCAGGCAGGCCAACGATCGAAATTCCAAGATATCCCGACCCTTGCAGCCAAAGCAGAGACGCCAGCAAGAAATAGACCCCGTGTAGGAATGTGGTTAGCTACTGCCTCAAAGGAAGCCTGGTGGTATTCGAGGTATAGAACTAGCTACCAGTGAATCGAAGGAGCCAACGGGGGAAAGTTGAAAAGAGATGGATCATCTCGGGTTTCCTGGTAAAAAACATGCTGAACTGTAGCCTTGTATCTGCGTCTGCCCGGTTTGCTTCGAGGCTATGTAGAATCAGCGAGGATATGATCTATGAAGGCGGAAAATGGCATTCATAGAGGGAGGGTGGTCATCCATGTCTTTCATACCCGACGCACTATGCGGGACGACGTCTGGATCTACTAGCTAGCCTAGTGAAAGGGTGCGGTATGGCCGCGATTAAGACAATGTGGTAGTTTTATGTGACCTTAGCTCAAGGCCAAAGTTCAAACCTAAGCATAGCTCTGGGTAACACTTGTTCTCCTACCTACATTTATTATATTTCCTCTGACTAGCGCCCCCCATTCTATTTTAACCATCCCACACTTTTCAAATGAATTAAACAAATAAAAAAAAAATTCCAACTCAAAATCAAATCTGAAGATCTTCCATGTCGAGTGATGGTTCATGATTACAAACCATGATATGCAATTACTAAACAGTTGGGATTTCTACTCCATAAAGCCTCGGCATAAGAAGACTCGGATAAGTATTTGATACGCCACAGATACGATTTGGCTACAAAGTGAGATCTCGAGAGGATGTCAGCCTCCCAGAGAAATGTCGTCCCGAGCTTTTCGGGAAAGGTAAATTTGACAATGCCCGAGAAAGGTGTATATCTAGCTATATGTATTTACGTTTTCCCATTAACAAGCCTAGCAGATTTAACATGACACTCCGGTGATATATTCGACCTTATACCTACCTGTCCCGCATGTTTTGGCTGATCAGCATTGCTGAAGTTCTCGGGTTTTAGGGGTTAGAGCATGGCTCGCGGACCAAGAGTCTCCATCATTCTATAAGATCTAGACAGTCTGCTATCAACGTCACTCAACGACCGCGTAGGTAGTTGTGCGTGTGTGAGAACCCCATACTCCAGAACACAGAAGGCTGCTATTATACTTGCCACCATGGCTATCCAGCTCCACCAGGCACAGATCTAGAGAGACTTGACAGCGCAGGTTCGAACTCTAACATGCATATTAATATCGCAGCTACTACCGCCCCCGCGATCTCAAATTACAGGATGCGGCCTTTTACCTACATATCTCTACGGCGGAAAGGAAGAGCTCGCACGTGTCTATGCGATCTTTGATCGGTACCAATCGATAGAAATCCCGGAACGAACCTCAGGTATATACTACCCCGGTCCAAAAAAGGGGTTATGTATATTTCTCGCCTTGTGTACGCTCGTGGCATATAAAAAACCCTACTACCTAATGACCGATTATCCCCCCGCACACATGGCGTGAGCACTATCTGGCCGGCATCTAATACCCTATAGTATCTGTAATGACTCTAGACAATCGGTCTACTCTAACAGAGATTGAGATGTATCTATGTACCTGGCCTGACTTGACTCTGAACCTTAAGTCCAGGGGTAGTCAACTTATGATTCTCAGCCTTGGCGGCACAGAGCAGTCGGAACCAGAATTTTTGCATCATGTAGCGTTGCACAAAAGAAAAAAACGTACGTACGTATGCTCCCTTTTCCCTTCCACTTTGACTCTACTACAGAACTCTAGTCTAGGCTGCACTCTGCAGTTCCCCTTTTTCATCCGTCATGAATACATGACCACTTTGTTTCCTCAGCTCTGCCCCTTTTTTGCTCATAGAACAAATTGATTGGACCAGTGATAACGGCAATGGGTAATATCATATGTAGACCGGAGCACCATGGAAGCCCGCAACCGCAATCCCACCGTACGCGTAGCCGGAACATTACAGCCACGTGCAATCCAAAAAATGTGTGGGGTTTTGTTTCGTTTTGTCTCGAATACAACAAAATAAGCATGCCGCTAGTCAGGGCTAGGGCTGATCATGAGCATGAGAGTTGATGCAGGGGTCAAGTGGATGGTGCTACCTAGCCTTACAAAATTGGCGGGAACGAGGTAAAAAAATCATCACGCACACACCCGCCCGTTTCCCCATTGATGTCCTGCTTTCTCTTGATATTGTTTTATTGGTTGCGAGTAGCCGTGTTCCTCATACACCGGTTTTTCACACGGAACCTAGCTGTGGGGATATTGGATTAGTACAAATCATATAAGGGAATGCATAAATACATGTATGTGATTACAGTAGCGTCCTAGTTAGTGATATCATGATTGACGTACACCAATCCCTCTGTCAGATATTTGAAACATGTAGCTGAAAGCGGAATCGTACAGTCATTCTTGGTCCATCTCAATATCATTATCATATTCTGTAATACACTATTTTTACCATCCTAACTGATGTAAAAGAAACTCCCTAGCCTATAAATTTACAAATATCCAACATATAAAAGAAAGATAAGAAAGAAACCTCCCATTTCCACGTGAGTGACCAACCTCTGAAATAGTGGTAGACGCAGTACGTAATAGTAGTACTGGTAGTTAACAAAAAGGAAAAAAGAGAGCACTGCCATACTGATCAATAGCCATGAAGCTTCCCATTCGTCTTCATCAGTGAGAGGAGTAAAGAGAGAGAAAGGTGCCCCAGGCAAGAAAGATGTACTCAAGCAAGTACTTAATACATAACTAGAAAGAGTGACATTAATAAACAATCTTCAAAATAAAACAGTCAAATTAACGTTTCCCTGTTCCCATCGCCGGGTCGTCCATATTCCCCTCCGCAAACTGGCCATAACCCGTACTCCTCGGCCTTCCACTCAGCTCTGACGCTGCCACAATATCACTTCCTCCCAACTCTGCCGCATGTTCTGTATAACCTCCTTGGTTGTCGTAGTAACCTGGGTACTGTTGACCGGGAAGCGGCCTCCTTGGAACCCCACCTGCCGCGTGATACACTGGTGAGCCGACGGGTGAGTATGGAGCTGGTGTACCGGTAGGTGAAAATGCAGGTGGATCTTCGTAGTTCTGCGGGTTATACTGCGCCATACCTGGCGTTGTCTGGTCCTTGTTCTGGTCATAGACCACCCC